CTGGTCTTTTATAGAACCAAGTTCCCGCTTGTTTAGTTTTGTAATCTGCTCAATTTTCCTTTTTTAAAGTCCAAAACAGATGGCCAAACTGCTGTGAATGCACTGCAACCACAGCTATTCAAACTGTTTTCCGATTCAAGAAAACCTTTGATCAAAAACTATTTATTTTTGTACTTTTTTCGGCCGATGACTTCAATTGTATGATAAAAAAAAGTTTTGTGTAATTTTGGTCGCACACAGATTGCTTTTTTAGGCTCACAGAGGAAGAGTTCAAAGTGTGACGCGTAGATTCTAATACAAGGTGGGGCATCTTTGTGGCCCGATTTGAATTGGCTATAACTTCTTTAGTTTTTGGCCAAATTTTAAAATTATTTTTTTCCCTGAATCGTCAGCCAACCCCATTTTGTTTGATACCAAATATGTTATACATAGTAAGTGCATATCTACAGTTATCGGATTTATTCGTGGAGTTCATTTTTTCGGTCGTTTTTCGGTTGTTTTTTCGGTCTTTCCCGGTGTGTCCGAAAATGGAGTACGGAGTACAAAGTGGAGTACAAAGATGCCCCACCCTGTAAAGTTTAGCGCAAACTCAGATTTACTTTTTCTATGACGTATGCGATATTACATACAAAATCGCGCTTTGCAGAAATAAACTGGGATTTTTGAATCCCAGAGTGTTCAATATTAAGATTACCATTTTTTTAAGTTTTAAAAAAAGATTTCCAGGCGACATTCGCAAAAAGTTGACTAGAATTTTCTCAATAACATTGCACACTACAAGTACATTAACTCCTCGTACTTTACCCCAACTTCAAAAAATTTGTTTTGTTGTCCCGTTTTTGTCGAATGCCCGTTCCTCAACCCTTATTTTTTACCACAACTATTACGCTCGGCCATCCGTTCCGGTCATTACTAGACATGGCTAGTGGGCCGGGCCGAATGAGTTTTAAAGGCCCCGGGGCCGGGCCGACCTCTTCCGGCCCCCGGGCCGGGCCGGCCGGGGCCCCCGCCAGGCCCCCAATCGGCCCCCAATGACTAAAATTCCCAGTCTCAAAGCGAAAATTAGGCTTGCCAATAAAAATAAAACGCAGAGCCAAGAACCGATTGGGTCTTTTGAAGTATATACATGGCAATGGTTGGTAATTTTTTGTTTCAAAAACTTTTTTTTCGATTTTTATAACAAAAAATGGGGGCTAAGGTAGTACAACCCCCAGTCCAGTTCAGCCCCCCTTGACCCAGTATAAGCCCCCTAATCCAATCTGAAGCGCCTACTCGGGATTGGGTTCTCTCGGCTACGGTCAGCGTTGCCTGAACCACAAGAACGAATTTGGACGGTAACTGGGGGTCTCAGCTAAAACGCCGGGGGTCATTTTACTCTAATTTCCATTTTTTGTATTATTCTAATTTTTTACTTATGGGGTGTGTGAAATGGACAAAACAGTGGGGGTTTGAACTACCAAAGCCCCAAAAAATGTGTTATATCTCGTAATGAATGCAGTATTTATATTTACAGTTCGGCCCCCGGTCGGCCTCCGGTCGGCCCCCGGCCCCCTGGGGGCCGGGCCGGGCCGGGCCGAGAAAATTCGAAGGGGGCCGGGGCCGGGCCGACCTCTTCCGGCCCCCGGGCCGGGCCGCGATTTTCGGCCTGGCCCGGCCCCCCAGCCATGTCTAGTCATTACCCGCAGTTTTGGGCATTTTCGGCAAGGGTTTATGAACCTTTCCTCCTTCGCCTGGACCCACCGCAGCCCGGGGAGCGGTTTTTCTTTCTGGTTTCGAATTCGCTTAGCGGCGGAAGTAAACCGAAAGACCGAGTCTTGAGGTTAAATTCACTTGATAAAATTTCAGCAGAAAACACAACAAACCCTCGAGCGATGAAACGTTTTCGCGGCTCTTTGGAGACGAGGTTTTTGATATTGCACTTGTCATCAGGGAGAGGGATTAATAAAGGAGAGGTTTTTGATATTTTCAATTGATGGGAATTTAGTTTCTAGAGGTTTTTATGCAGCTTGAAGATTTTTTAGGTTATTTAAGATAGTTCAAAATAAACGTCATCGTTTTAAAACAATTTCCTGATGCATTTTTGGGTTGAAAACTATAGTTTTCCTCGAAAAAATCATCGTATTCAAGGGACTGATGCCATTTTATATTGAAATGCCTCTTTCCAAATAAAAACGCAAGAAATTTTAATTTTCCAGTACTTGATCGACAGCTTTTTGCAATTTTCTCAAACCTTTCTTCCTTTGATTCTTTGGGCGCTTCCCATTTTTATTTTTGACAAGTCTCATCAAATCAATCCACCTCCCTCGGTCCCAAAGGACTTCTTTTATTATCATCAAACCCCTCAAACAAGCCTACATTTAAGCCCGCATCCTCCCTCTAGAACGTCGAACCCATGCCCTATTTTTGTCATCCGAATGTTTAGAGTTGTGGGAGGCTATCTACGCAAATGTCTGGATAATTAAAAATTCCGACAATTGTTACGACAGTGGCCAAACGAAAGGCGGAGATGGGTACACAAAGACGGCATCGTATCTGAATTCCCTCGCGTTCATGTTTGTTCGAACCGTCGGTTCGAATTTTATATATTACTGTAGGATACAAAGAAGTCATTTTTGAGGTCTATAGCTTTCTCAAAAGTCATATCTTTTACTCAGTAAAAAGAGGGAAGATCAAATTTTACAATATTCCCTGACGTAGGTCTGGAAGTGGTTTTCATGTAAATCCGGACGATAGAAACGAATTTTTCGTTACTTTTGCATACACATGTAGTCTAGTCCCCAGACGTCATAATTTCACGATTATGCAGATCCTTTTCGGGTATATAATCAGGGAGGTATTTGGAGAACTGAATTGAAACTTTTTTTGAACGTTGACTTGGTTTCAAAATTGATAAAGCTTCGGCCAACTCTTGGATTTGTTTCAAACCCAGGTTGCCTGAACAATAAGTAGTAGAACTGTTCGCAAAAGCGTCTTGAGCTGTTTGAAAATTTTTTAGAAGTTTAAATTGATGAGGAATCAAGTCTTATTTTCGAATTCGGATCCATAAAATCCGAATTTTTATAGGTGTAGAATGCTCCTTGAGGACGAGAGATCACGTAAAATTAAGAGAGATGGCCAGAAAAAACAAAACGCCCTTAGAAATTTTTGTCTATAACGAACAATTTGGCAAGTTCCAAGAGCCAATAGGCCAGAATAAACTTCTGTAAAACGAAGCTTGTGTTTTTTTCTTTGTCATCGTTTTATCATCGTATAAAAAACAGTTTTTCCTCAAAAATCCACGGCCATCTCCATCATTCTCCAATTTCAAAACCCCAATCGAACCCATCCAAAGCATCGATGATCAACTTTCACTACGCTTCCCTTGTTTACAGTCAATTATTACCCTCCACTGTAGCGAATGAAACAACCTTTAAAGTTCAAAGACGTCGAAAAGACGCGGGTGAAAAGTATAGGTTCTCGGGGGTTTTCTCACGGACGGGAAACGCTATAGGAATTTGAGAAGTAACGTTTTCAGTGGTTTAAGAGTTTGCAGTTTTCAGTTTTCCCTCCCCAACTTAACTCAATTCTGTTTTTTGCAAAAACCTTTTTGTTTATTGAGACTCGCCCAAGAACTGGGTTAATTCTGCGAGGATTTGCATCGGGCTCGTTATAGTCATGGAAATGCGTCAGAGTCGCGGATTCTTGATTCATTGTCGTTTGGTATTGTTTTAAGGAGAGAATTTATAATTTTTCTATATTATTCATGTTTAATATAGCGGGAAAAGACGATATATTTTTTTAATTTAGACGTTAATTTCGTGATCTATTTTCTTTTTGAGTCCCTACAGGCGTAACTGAAAGTATTGCGGAAAGTTTGGCATAAACTAATGACCGTTTTTTGGTCCCACCACGAAAACAATACAATTTGCAAATCCCTTTGGCATTGATAAAAATTACCTCTAAAGCGCTCATACACAATTTTTTAGCCTAGATCAAGGTTTGAACTTGCATTTTTCCCCGCCAAACCCCCCAATCCACCTTGTTTTACCCCCAGATCCCATCAACGAAACCCATCTCCTCAATAATAACCCATTGCGCCTCGGGGTTTTATCGAATTGCAGTTACCCGTCATGAATCTGTTTCCGAACATAACAATAGACAGAATGGAGTCGTGTCCCTCTATTTTTCTTTCATTTACTCACCCCTGACTTCTGTGTGATTGTACAGGCATCACAGCCCAAAAACGGATCGAAACAACTTCTTTTTTTTCTTCGTTTGCGGGAAAAACAGAGCGAATCGGACCGTTGGGGGGCAGGGAGGGAAGTTTATGGAGTAGAGCGTGAGTTTGTATAAGGTAAAACACCGCCCGAAGTGGTTTTATGGAGTCAGTAAATGGGCGATCGGATCCCATCGCCCCGTTCGCCGCCGGATCTCGCTCCGGGCCCTGCGCGCAAGCGCACAGCGACGCTGCGGGTTTCGCGTTGTACGGTGACGCAACCCCGAAGCCATCGAAGGGACACCGACTTCAGGGAGATGGGTATTTGTTCGCCATGTACATTATCCATTTATTACTTGTTGGGCGCCAAAATGTCTTCGCCAGACCCCCGAATTCGCGTCGATTGCGGGAACTCTCGATATTATTAGAACCGCTAGATCTTTTACTACCTGCGTACCATGGAAATTGCCCTTTCGACACCTGTTTTAACAAAATTTTGAAATTTTTATCTGATCAGATCAGCTCAATCCGAAAATTTCCGTGATTTCCCGTATTTTTTGCCCTTTACAAACATTTATCCTGGATTTTTATATCATACTCCTGCTGTCCATGAGATAATTGCTCTGTTTTTCGCGAAATTATCCGTTATTTTCCCACATTCCCATCAACCGTTACCTAAAATTATGTTTCAGGTGTATGCTACCCGGTTGAGCCCGTCTGCCACAGGATTTCTACCTCTATGTATATAAACTAGGTTGGTTATGAAAATCCGACGGGCACCTACCACATTTCGAGTTCTACAACCATGAACACCTTACATTTCTACACCAAACGCATCTTCGCCTTGGTGTGTTTGTTCTTCTTCGGATTCTTGATTCTAATCGCATCCCGAGGGCCGACTGAGTCGGCAGACGCCGAGTTTAGCAGTAAAGGTGAGTGCTTCGTCGATTTTTGAACCTTTTTGATACAATCTTTCTGATTTATTATCCAAAATCTGGAGGAAGTTTGGGCGCAGCTCGCGAGTTTTGCATAATTCTGTTTTTTGCTCCGAAATGGCGGAGAACTTGATGGATCGGATTGAACTTGATGTAATTACGTAATGTCGTCTTTCTAGAATGGATCAATCAGAAACAGAATCGCGAATATGCTAAACATCCCAAATTCTTGGGCCCAATGGCTAAACGGCCGGGCGAACAGCTTTCCTTCCAACCTCAGCCTGCTCCAGCCGCTGGAATTGGACTAGTCCCGTACAGCGAACTTGGTAAGACTCTTATCTTTCTTTGCTTTGTCTTTCAAGGCGTTTTTTGTCTGCTTTCACCGGAGTTTTTTTGATATTACTATTGTTACCTAAATTAATTCCAGATATTCCTCGGAATATCGACGAAGAAGTGGTCCGTCGGCTGAATGTGCACCTCAATGGAATTGATCTCGAGAAAATGTCGCGGAAAGAATGTGCGACAAATACGACATTGGCCAAATATTGGTCGGATACGCAGGGAAGAGTGGTGCCGCAGAAGGATAATTGGGAAAAATTCTATGCCAATATCGGAAGTTGTGATATCTACAGGGACGAATCACAAGTTCAAGACCTCCTGGACGATTTGAATAGGATACCATTGAAACATGTGGCCATTATGGAGGGAGGAACACAGGTAATTATATTGCACTAGGCGTTTTGATGGGACTTTTGATTTTTTAGGTGGTTTTTGATAGAGGTTATAAAGTAAATTGCTTCTAAGTCCTTATTTATGGTATTTAACATATTTTTATGCGGGTTTTATTCCAGATCAAGCTGATCTTTACCTTCGAAAATGACAAACAAGCAGTTTTCAAGCCGATGAGATATGGGCGCGATTATGAGACGGATCCCAACCATTTCTACTTTGGCGACTTCGAACGTCACACCGCAGAGATTGCCACCTTCCATTTGGACAAGATTCTAGGCTTTCGGAGAGCCGTTCCAACAGCTGGTCGAGTAGTTAACATCACTGGAGAACTCCTCGAAAAGGCCGAGAAACGTCTGAAAAAGACTTTCTTTGTTTCACCAGCGAAGAATCAATGTTTTGTGGGGAAATGTGACTATTATTGTGATACGACACATGCGATTTGTGGGGATCCCGATCTAAAAGAAGGTTCGGTTCAAATGTTCTTGCCAGATGATACGAGTGTGCCCAGGAAGCATAACAAATCCCCTTATAGACGGTAATTTTTTGTGTTTTCTTTTGCCTAGAGTGATTTTTATTGCATAATCCGCCTTACATCCAAACTTTTTACTCTATTTTATATTTAGGACCTACTCCAAGAAGACCCAGCTTGCCCAATGGCAAACGGACATGAATTACTGTGAAGCCAAAGTCAAGACCAAGATGCCCTATGCTCATGGTCGAAGTCTTCCGGACTTCATTGATCTCCATATCCTCGATTATCTCATCGGAAATCAAGATCGTCATCATTACGAAACCTTCAATGTTTTCGATGACATGCCACCATATTCAATGCATCTAGACAATGGAAGAGCGTAAGTGAATCAAATTGAGTCCGTATCATTTATTTTTAGGTTCGGAAAGACCAAATTTGATGATGAAGATATTTTGATGCCATTGAAGCAGTGCTGTGTTATAAAGCCCAGCACTCTAGCAACTTTGCTGAGGTATTACAAAGGCCCTAAGAGCTTGACGGAAACTTTGCATGAGTAGGTTGCGCATTTTTTATATTATTTTGACAAAAATTTTGCTCTGGTGTCAAGTGTAATATAATTTTAACCCCGAAAATTTTCCAGATCCCTCAGCAAAGATGCGATTGCTCCAGTATTGGCCTACAAGCACTATCCAGCCATGGAGCGACGATTAGGAAAGATTATGCATAGTGTTTTGGAGTGTTTGGACGATAGAAATGGCCCAGAGAACGTGGTGATGAATGAGTTCCACAACCCGAAAGTTTATCAATTCCCGCTTCAAAAACATGATGAAGATGAGGATGAGACCGCTCCAGAACAACATCCCGCCCCGCCAGCCGATCCGCAACATCCAGAACAAGAGCATCCGGGGGAAAATCAAGGGCCTCCGGGTCTGTTGCCAAAACCCGTGGAAGGGCTGTTTAAACCCGTCGAAAAACCGCAGCAGGTCGCCAATCCGGACGGCCATAGGATGGAAGAGTCAGCGTAGAGGTCTAAACTAGACTTTTAGAGGCTTGAATGTTTGATACGAGCCTTTAAAACTCATCCGAACATCAATTTCCCATCGTCAAAGCGGGTCCTGGATGAAATCCCCATGAAACTTACGTGTCTACCTCCCTCCGTTCGAATGGTAACCGTGCAAGCCGGTTACGTAAACTTCTACAATCCCACGGGTGAATAGTAAATATGATTTTGCGCCTTAACTAGTAGCCAAATAGTGGTATAATAATTGTAATATTCAGAGCTTTCCATTCCTATAACTTTTTAAAAATTTTTTTGAAATGCCTTGTATTATGTAAATTTTCTATCAAATCTGTGAATACGTTGTTGTTTTACCGGGTCATTCTAGCCAATAAATGCTAATATATGTATATTGATTTTGGCTTACATTTGGTATCAAGTGTAATATAATTTATTTCAAAAATAGTATAAAATAGCTAATGATCACAGTTCATCGTGCTCTTCGGAGCTCTCAGAAGACTTTTCTTCCTTGGAGTCATCAGTTTCGGCGGATTCAGTGGCCTCTTCGACCTTCTCCTTGGTCTCTTCACCCTCCTTTTGCTCGGCGGTCTCTTCTCCTTCAACTTTTGGCTCCTCAACTTCTCCATTGGGTTCCTCGCCGGTCTCCTTGACCAAGAACTCCACAATTTCCTTCAGATTCAACTCCCCAGTGAAGTCCACATTCTCTTTTTTGTCCTTGGGGAACAGACTGATCGTGGGCAAGGCGCGAATTGTAATCCCATCGACCTCATTCAGCGTGGCATCCATCTTGGCGATGATGACATTCTCATTGTCTTTGTACAGCTCGCCGAGTCGATCCCACACCGGGATCAAGTTCTGGCAATGGACACACCATGGTGCGTAGAATTCGACCAAAACATGCTTCTTTGGATCGCGCGCGACTTGATCGAAATTCTTGCCAACCAGCACTGTAATCAGGCCTTGATCCCAATCTTCGGGCAGCTTCTCGGATTTCAAATACAACTCCAATTTGTCGGCTTTGAAGTCCTCGGCGAACTTGGCAATATCGGAGGATCCGAGCTTGTTTTTGGAGGGCTGATACTTCTTCAGCCCATCTTTGCGAGACATAGCGCGGATGGTGGGGATATCCTCGGGATTGACGCCGAAGAAATCGCCGATTCGGTCGTTGGTCTCGACCAAAACATTGACTTGAACGAACTGAATTGTCCCCTTGAATTGCTTGGCAGCGGTTCTGAAGTCGTTCTTCAGCTTCTGCGTGCCTTCAGACTCCTTGTAGAAGAGGACGATGAACTCTTTTTGATCTCCGCCAAAGATAAGGTTGGCGTCGGACTGGCTGAACTCGCTGATCAAGGGTTTTTTGTTCTTCTCCAGCCAGTCTTTCACTCCGGCCAACTTGTCTTCGTATTTCAGAGACTCCGAATCCGAGGCTTTGAAGAGAACAAGTCCGTTTTTCTTCAGCTTCAACGCCTTCTCAGCCAATTTAGCGTCCGAAACGAATCCAATGGGGATGTCTTCAATTGATATGGCCAATTTTTTGAACTCCTCCGCCTCTTTCTCGTCCTTGTAGTAGCCCACAAGAACAACATTGTTCCTTTTCGTGAACTCATCAATTTCCTCGGCGGTTTCGAGCGTCTTAACAGTTAGCCCGGTCTTCGATTTGAGCCATTCCACAATCCCATTGCGATCTCTTTTCCCGTTGAAATCGATGGCTTCTCCGTTTTGGAAGAATTTGATGGTCGGGTAGCCTCGGGTAATGTACTTGTCATGCAGGGCCTGGTTCTCAGTGGCGTCAACTTTGGCCAGTTTGATGGGCAGGTCTTCTTTGGCTAGCCGTTGAGCGGCCTTGGCGTATTCCGGAGCCAATTTCTGGCAATGGCCACACCATGGAGCATAAAGTTCGACCAAAATGTTGGAGTGTTTTTTGATCGCGGCGTCAAAGTTTTCCTGAAGAAATATACTGTAATTTTGGGATATAAAGAAGTTCTACGAATGCTGATAGACATTGGAAAAGCTCAGTCTTACTAAAAATAAAAAAAATACTGTTCAAAACTTACGTCATTCAGGACCAAAACACCCTCATCTTCCTTGATCTCATCCTCGGCGAAATACCCGTTAATCAACAAAATACCGAGGAAAAGGACGGTAAACTTAGTCATGATTAACCCTAAAATTTTTAACGTTTATTGTAAGCATCATAAGTCATCAAACCGCGAGAAAAGTCGATCAAAAAGTTGATAATTTTGCACAGTAAAAAAGATGTCATCAATATTTCCAACAGCTAAAATAAGGCAGCTGAAATTCGTTACAAAACTTGGAAAGCACAAAATCAGTTTACAATTTAGATTTTTCATCTGAATTCTCAAGAAAATCCAATTCCCTTCTTGCGCTAAAAAACTCTTGGTGCCGTGTCAGCGAAGGTCGGTCGCCCTCAAGGTTGAATCGCCAGCCGTAAGATTTCTCTCTGCGAAACTTGTAAGAAATCGCCTTCGGTTGTTATCATGACCTATATTTTTGAAACGGCCCAGAAAATGGTAAAGATTTTGATTGATTCTGTCAAATTTGAAATTGAATCTTTAGCAAAGAATTGCTGAAAAGAAGCGTGCAAATTTTGGCAAAATTTGCCCAATTTTTGAAGAGATCTGGCAGACTTTACAGCCATGTTTTTATGGTCTAAATATATCAAAAAAATCGTTAAATACGACAATGTCCATACAAGTTTTTGAACAAAATCTCAACCAACTGAATGGCTACAAAATCACGGCCAAAAATCGTCATGATGACTGAATTTTCCATTCAAATCGAATCTCATTGATCTTCTCATCTCACTTCCATTCTAATCCCTGCTTCTCCGTGCACACATCCAATGAAACGGTCACTTTCCTCTTTCCTTTTTCTCTAATTATCCCCAGAAGAATCACGTAAAATGTTTTGGGAGAAGCCCTCTCTTTTTGCAGTTGTTGATGAATTACCTTCCAAGTACACGTAAGCATTGGTCGTCTTAAGTATACGCTGACGTTGACTTGAGAGTGACTGGAACCTGTTCCAGGAGAAACTGACCGTTACAGTATACGTATAGTCGAAACCAGAGATCTGAATTTAATTTTTTTTTTTTTTGGGATCTCATGTCAGTGAAAAAATGATTTTTTCGCCATAGATTTTTTTAATATTTTTTTGATTATGCCATAATTAGAATAACTAGAAAACAGCCTCAATTTAGTTCACAAAACTTTATTCGATATCACTTCACAGAAAAATCCGATATCATCTTCGAACCCGGAAATCCATTTCGCCGAAATGAATACAATTCAAACTACAAAAGACATTATACTTTAGGCATTGAGGGTTTTTGTAATCCGTTTATAAAATGGAGAATCAACAAAACAACTTTGGAATTAGATATATATAGACTTAGGGGGAGAGGAATAAATAGTGATATCTAGGCGTTTAGAGCTCGGTGTGTCCCTCATCGGCCTCCTCCTCGGCCTTGTCGGTGTCGGATGGGCCGGCGCCGTCCTTGCCGCCGGACTCGAGGAACTTGGTGAATCCGTCGAGGGTTCGCTCACCGGTGTAGTCGATGACCTTGTTCGAGTTGGCGGGGAAGAACTTGATGGTGGGGAAGGACTGGACCTTGACGTCGGCCAGCTCGTTGGTGGTGGCGTCCATCTTGGCGATGACAATGTTCTCGTGATCCTTGTACTTCTCTCCGAGCTTGTCCCAGGTGGGGGCCAACTGCTTGCAATGGCCGCACCATGGGGCGTAGAACTCGACCAAAACGTTCTTGGACTTGTCGCGGGCAACTTCTTCAAAGTTCTTTCCGACCAACACTTTAACGGGCTCTTTGTCCCAGTTCTCTGGCACATCTTCGGACATCAGATGAGGCTTCAGGTTTCCGTCGAGGTAGGTCTGAGTGAACTTGACAATGTTCTCGGTGGTGATGTCGGCAAAGTCGGGCTTGAATTTGGTCATGTCCTCTTCCAGAGAGATCAGACGGATGGATGGGAGATCGTCGCCCTTCAGACCGAAGAACTCCATGATTCTGGCGTTGTCTTCGATGTCAGTGTTGATGTAGACGAAGAGAACTTTTCCCTTGAAGGTCTTGGCGGCGTTTCGGAATTCGGTTTCGATCTTCTCGAAGTCGGCGGATTCCTTGGAGATGAACAACAAGTTGTGGGACTTGATCTCTCCTCCGAAGATGATGGAGGCGGTTTCTTGAGTGAATTCAGAGACCAATGGGAGGCGGTTGGCCTGGATCCAGGCCTTCAAGTTGGCTCCGGATTCCTCAACTTTCTCGTCGAAGTCAGAGCGGCCATCATCGAACTTCTTGAAGAGAACGATGCCCTCCTTCTTCAGTTCCAATGCGTTCTTGGCGGTCTCCTCATCATAGGTGATGCCGAATGGAACATCGTCAAGAGCAGCGGCAACTTCGAGGTAGGCCTTGGCGTCATCGGCAGACTTGTAGTAGGCGACAACATTGACTTCAGACTCCTCCTTGAAGGCCTTGAGTTCATCAATAGACTTGAGTTCCTTGGCTGGTGGGCCAGTCTTCTTCTTCAGCCAGTTGACAATGGAGGCCTGGTCACGTCCGCCGGTGTACTCTTGTGGCTTTCCGTTGCGGAACAGCTTCAGGGTTGGGTAGCCGCGAACCTCGTGGGCCGAGCCGAGTTCGGAGTGAACGGTGGCGTCAACTTTGCCCAACTTGATGTCGGATCCCTCTTCAGCCAGCTGAGTGGCGGCCTTGGCGTATTCGGGGGCCAAGGCTTTGCAGTGACCGCACCATGGGGCGTAGAATTCGACCAAAACGTAGGGGTGCTTCTCGAGGACCTCTTGGAAGTTGTCCTAAAATCACAACAATAACCTGACACTCGACTTCAATCTCTTACCTTGGTCAACACCAGGACGTGGTCCTCTTCCTCCACCTCGGCGCTGAACACCAACGCGCACACCAGCGCCACGCTCACGAACTTCAACATGGTTACCCTAGAAGACACACGGAATGAGTAGGGTTATAATCAAAATTCAGCGGGGGTAGATCAAGAAACACGTCGCGCAATTGGAAAGGAAGAAAGGTGGAGTCAGAAGAAGGGAAGAAAACGTTGCATAAGAACGCGTTGGAGTCGAGTGATTGGATGCGAATCAAAAATTATGTAACTCCTAGGAAAGGTCGTTGATCCATGAATCAACCGGGAATATAATGACTAAAATGCCATCGGATCTTATTCATGTCTTATAAGGATTACTAAACTACAAATCTCTTGAAAAAATAGCGGAAGAACCATCCTCAGCCACTTTCCTAAACACTGCCTTTCGTCGAAGTAAAGGTTATCAAATCGCGTCGGCTTGAAGCGAGACGCCGACCTCTCGCAGCTCGACCAGATTCCAACACCGCACTGACCGAGATCAACACGCACCGTCGCAGAAGAAGCGGCCGCCGGGAACGACCTCCTTCGCCCTACCTGCATCTTCGCCATGCCCGTGGGAGGGTGCTGCGCGGGGTTTTTGACCGTCCCCCACCAACGCACTCACTGTTTCCGCCGGCCCTTCTGCGGTATCCGCCGAAGCCTCGATCTCCGCGTCTTCGCGCGACGGTACGCCCCATTTTGTGCAGAGCGATTCCGTGGATCACTGACCACCCCTGCTCGCCACAACCTCCCTTCTGTGTTCGCCCCTTTGCTCGAGCGGCGGCCACGTCGACATCTCAGCGCCCTCTGTCTGCCTGCCCTTCCCAAGGACGATCCGATCGCCGCAGTCTCTGCCTTCTTCGCCTTTCCCCCCACCCCAATAAATAATCCCTTCGCCTTCTCGCCCGCCCCAAAACCCCTGCCCCGCACAGAAAAATGTTCGGCTCAACCTTGACCTGCCTTCCGACAAACAATTTTTGCGGATCAACCGGTCGAATCCGCCGAAAACCTCCCATTCTTCACGGATTTTCGCCGGGAATCCCCGTTCGCAGCGGCGTAAATTACAGCCTAATCAAACCCTCTAATTGTTATTTCGATTCGCTTTAATTACGCGCCAAAACAAACAAAATCGCAAATAAATCCAGAGGGATCTCGAAAAACTCCGGCATTAATAGAATTTTTGTCAAAATCCCTGTTTTCTTTCATAATTTTGCACTAAAAGAGATTATTTACAGCTTCGAGGAGATGAAAATAACTATTTTCCAACCCGAAATGCCCAATTATTTGACAAAAACAATGTTTACTATTCGCATAGGATGGAAAGAAAAGGCGCTATCTACGTTATCCTCCAAGAAATAGGCGCTCTTTTGCCTTCTGTTTATTCGTTCTACTTTGCCTTTAGATGGCCGTCTCTAAAGTCTATACCCTTCTACAACTTTTTTTACAATTATTCTTTACTCATTACAAACCCAAACTAATAACCCGAAATTTCATTTACGCAAAATTGAAATGAAAATCACAGTTACAAAGAGAACAAGACAAGGCTATATTATATTATATTTATCCATTTACAAAAGAGAGGATCAACAAACAACATCGGAATTAGATAGACTTAGGGTTAAGATAACAAAATAAATAGTATCTAGAGGGAGCTTAGAGTTCAGTGTGTCCGTCTTCGGCGTCTTCTTCGGGCTTCTCTTCGGTGGTTTCGGTCTTTCCGCCGGCCTCGAGGAACTTGGAGAAACCTTCCAGGGTTCTTTCGCCAGTGTAATCGACAATCTTGTCGGAGCCGGCGGGGAAGAACTTGATGGTGGGGAATGACTGGACCTTCACATCAGCCAGCTCGTTGGTGGTGGCGTCCATCTTGGCGATGACAATGTTCTCGTGGTCCTTGTACTTCTCTCCGAGCTGATCCCAGATCGGGGCCAACTGCTTGCAATGGCCGCACCATGGGGCGTAGAACTCGACCAAAACGTTCTTGGACTGGTCACGGGCGACTTCATTGAAGTTCTTGCCAACCAAAACCTTGACTCCCTCCTTGTCCCAGTTCTCTGGCACATCTTCGGACATCAGATGAGGCTTCAGGTTTCCGTCGAGGTAGGTCTGAGTGAACTTGACCAAGTTTTCGGTGGTAATCTCGGTGAATTCTGGCTTGTACTTGGTCATGTCTTCCTCCAAGGAGATGAGGCGGACGGCAGGGATGTCATCGCTCTTCAGGCCGAAGAATTCCATGATTCTGGCGTTGTCCTCAACATCAGTGTTGATGTAGACGAACAGGATCTTGCCCTTGAATTCCTTGGCTGCGTTTCTGAATTCGGTCTCGATCTTCTCGAAGTCGGCCGATTCCTTGGAGATGAACAACAAGTTGTGGGACTTGATCTCTCCTCCGAAGATGATGGAGGCGGTTTCTTGAGTGAATTCAGAGACCAATGGGAGACGGTTGGCCTGGATCCAGGACTTGAGGGCGGTTCCAGCTTCGTCAACTTCCTGTTCGTAATCAACACGGCCATCATCGAACTTCTTGAAGAGGACAACACCATCTTTCTTCAACTCAAGACCAGCCTTGGCAACCTCAGCGTCATAAATGATGGCGAATGGAACATCATCGAGGGAAGCGGCGACTTCCAAGTAGTTCTTGGCATCCTCAGCAGACTTGTAGTAGGCAACGACAAAAACATCGGTGGATTCCTTGAAGGCGGTGAGCTCATCAACAGAGGTGATTTCCTTAGCTGGAGGTCCAGTCTTCTTCTTGAGCCAGTTGACGATGGCGGCCTGATCACGTCCACCTCCGTATTCTTGGGGTTTGCCGTTGCGGAAGAACTTGAGGGTAGGATAACCGCGGACTTCATGTGCTGAGGCGAGTTCGGAATGAACAGTGGCGTCAACTTTGCCCAACTTGATGTCGGATCCTTCCTCAGCGAGTTGGGTGGCTGCCTTGGCGTATTCTGGAGCCAGAGCCTTGCAGTGACCGCACCATGGGGCGTAGAACTCGACCAGTACGTTGGGATGTTGTTCGATGACTTCTTTGAAGTTATCCTAAAATTCGAACAATGTTTCAAAAAAGAACCAGAATAACTCACCTTGGTCAAGACCAGGACATTTTCCTCCTCTTCAACCTCGACGGCGAACACCAACGCGCTGACCACCAGCGCTACACTGAGGAACTTGATCATGATCAACCTGCAAAAAGAAACGATAATTTACAGCCACGAAACGGCCCCGAGAAATGCAAGGACACGTCACAGACAATAAACGGTAAGATAACACAAATTCAAAACCAAAAGACACGTTAATTTACATTCAAATTATATTACACTAGACCGAAAATTAAATCCCCTCGTTCTTTGCCCGCAAAAACAAACAAAAGAAGTGGTCGAAGGGCTGAACACAACAACCTGCCAAGTCCAGGGAGTGGCTAACCCAATAAAGGACTGTTATTTCCCAAAAACTCCAAAATTTATATGAAAATCTGTCCTACATAGCAAAATTCATGAATATTGATGTATGAATGACATGAAAAAATAGCCACACGACCGCCTCCTGGCCCAGCAACCGGCCTAAACTGACCAATGATTCGAGAACATTTTGCCACGTTCACTTCGGGCCAAGGCTGACGAAAAAAACAGAACGTCCAAAAAACCCGTCATCCTCGCGTTTTTCGACTGGTCGACTTGCAATTTTCTTGGATAAATTTGACTCTTCCTACCTTCTAGCTGCTAATTATGCATTTTCGACAGTTTCTATCGATGTGTTATCAGTTTTAGGGTTGTCATTATGACGGATTTTCTGGACATGTTTTTTCAATGGAAAAATTGAAGAAACGTGAGAAGAAAGCAAGATTTCCGTCAAGGTTGACATTGAAAGTGGGTCGAGGCCATTCAAAAAACGCAAGAGATGATGAATTAGGTGGTACAAGACATTGCAAAAATATAAAAATTCCACGGGAAAGTTTTTTTATACCTGAAATGGGGAAATCTTGCCGAAAAAAGCCGTGGAAACCCGAGTTTGTATGACATCCGAGCCTGACGGCGCTTAGAGGGACTAAATAGACGGAATGGAGTCCTTTTCGACCTTTCCGAATATAAAAGTTATATTATACATGGCAAAATCCTGTTGCGAAAACGGTGAGTAAGGAAATAAAAAGCCAAAATTTCTATGGCGAAATTTTTGCACGAAAAGCTCTTTCCAATCTCGTGGTGGTGTTTCCCAAGCTCAAACTACCTATTTCTATAGTTTTTAGTCAAATTTATATTATACTAGACACTATAATCTCCAAACTTACGAAATCCTCGAAATCTCCGAACACACGGCTCCTCAGGCGCTTCTAGAACCTGCTACGAACAGGGTTGATCTTCCGAACACAAAAAACAACGAAATACGACGAACGACAGAGAGAAATAGTAGGGCGACAACAACTTGAGGGGACACCCGAAAACTGAATGAATGCACGTTGCCTCCGATAGACACTTTTATGCTGACGTAGATTTCATAAACGTCTCGAATTTCCGAATTTCATGCAAATTAGTCAATTTGTACGTTCGAATATTCGAGAAAAATTGTGTGGAAACGTGGAAAATTTGCACGGTGCGGAAAGAAATTTTTGCGGTTTGCAATTTGCACTGTGCGTTTTTTGAATTGGATTTTGCTGCCAGAAAGAGCAAAAAACTTGAACGCAATCGCTTTTTCTCCGAAGCGATAAATCAAAAATTGCACTGTGCGATGAAATTTTTTTTTTTCAAAATGCACTGTGCAGTCGAAAAATTGCGACAAACTGCACTGTGCAGTCGAAAAATTGCGACTAACTGCACTGTGCATTCCAAAAATTGCGACAAGCTGCACTGTGCATTCCAAAAATTGCGACAAACTGCACTGTGCATTCCAAAAATTGCGACTAACTGCACTGTGCAGTCCAAAAATTGCGACAAACTGCACTGTGCAGTTCAAAAATTGCGACAAACTGCACTGTGCATTCCAGATCTCTGTAAAGCGATGTTTGGACAGGACCAAAGCCCTCGACAAATCCCCTAAAATCTGGATGTTTCAGCTTCATCCGAGCCTGCGGAAACAAGACCAATTTTATAATCGAAACCCAACGCAAATAGATCCCGGGGCCGGATCACGCTTGTCTAAACAATTGGCCGCCCATTTCTCCCTACAACGCTGACGTGTCAGTACGAAACGCGGTCGAGCTGCGAGAACCGAGAACGCGCCAGAGAGCGGGGGCCCAACAAAGAGACGGCAGAGGGCCCGAGAAGGCATTGTGGACAAGTTGGTGGGGCTGAGACGTTCCGGAGGGTCAAAAATGAAGGGTTTCCGAGGAGTTTGGGGTGGAGGAATGATAAGAAATGGGCAAATTTGGGAACGCGAATGTCTCAAATATTGAGGATGAGGAAATTTTTGAGATAGTAAGAGATAGGAGGAGTCTGGGTAAAGATAAGGAAGTTTTAATGTCAAGTACAATATAAAAATTTAGTAATAATGAAACGGAAGAGGTCTCGGATAGATTAATTATAGGGTTTCATAGCAAAATTACTATGTAAAATTGTCTCTAAAAATATTTCGGACCCTTTTTACTTTCAAAAATATTGAGAATCATGCGATTTCCAACAAAAGACATCAAGTATAATATAAAAGAAGACCACAGTTCGCACCTCTTGACCTATTATAATATAAAAAACGAGGGAAGAAAAGTAGTATAAACAAGACAAGAAACCTAAAATTTAAAGCAAGTACAACCTCAAAAACTTTTCTCATCAGACTAAAATTTCAAGCTTTTTCATGTGAAATAAATTTAAATCATCAGTTTAGCATATAAAATTAATTATTTCAACACCTGAAACTGCATAAGTAAATACAAAATTCGTTGTAAAACAAGGCCTCAGGTAGTGCAAATTCAAAAATCTTTATTATACATGTACTAGAACAATGAACGACCATGATATTACGGTTATTATGCATCCCGTTAGCGGTATTTGTATTGTAACAATTTGACCGTAAAAAACTTCGTTTTGATTTACCCACAAAAGGGTTGTATAGCAATATTATCTGAGGTAGCGACTAATTTGTCATCATTTTTCGGTGTCAATTACTGGCATCGAAGCTGGAACTCGTGGTCAAGTTTTGAGCATTGCGGAGAGCGTAGAGGAGATGAGGTTTGGTTGGGGGAATTCCAGCGGACATTGAACGAACCATCGATGGAACCGGCTTCTCGATGCTGTTTTGGATGTCGCTGCGACGTGGACTAAAATTTTTAGAGTGAATGTGAGACTTTTGGATATTGTACAAGCATCTTTTGTTATATTTAGGATTGGTTAACCGAGTTTAGGATGGAATAACATTTGTTCCTAACTTCCTACATTGTTTTACTTCATTATGTCATTGTAAAATACGCTTTGCCTCCAACTTCCTGGAAAAATAGGAGGTCCGGAGACCTCAAACGCAAAAATTTAGCTGTTGGCCAACCCCAACTCGGAGCTGCCACACAGGTCAACCCGTCCCCAAAGTGCAATGGGAGGGCCTCACCATGGAGGCGACACCTTCTTGATCGTGCCGCTCTCCCAGCCAGGTAAGTTTATGATTCGTCGGCCAGTGGAAAGGGTCACTTTTAGCGTTCGGAAAAGAACTGGGTACGGCGTCGGGCGAGGGATAAGAGAGCCGTTTTTAGTGCGAGAGAAAAAAAGGTGCGCGAATCGAGAGAGAAATTCGGGAATGGGAAGAGTTGACACGGCTTTTTTGTGGACGGTCAAGTGTTTCTCTGTGGTGAAAAATTGTGAAATTCTTGTTTTTTGACAAGTCAAGGCGGCAAAATAGCAGAAAAAGGCAACTGCTGTACACTGCAGTGAATTTTGAGCTATAAACTCGGTTCTAATAACGTTTTTGGCGACATTCTCACAAGAAAAAAGGGTTTGCCAAGGTTCTTTGTCGATTTTTCCTTACCTCCCAATGTATGGCAACTTCTGAACACTCGATGTGTTGGGCGGCTTCAATCCTCGTTCCTCGGGCTTGTTTTGGACTTTGTTTTGATTAGATTCGACTGCTGATTGAGTTGCTCCAAACAATCGAAAAGCTTTGGGTTTTACTGGAGACGGCAAGGTCATAGAAGTGGTGGTATTTGGAGGGTCGATGCAAGAGGCTCGTCGCCGTTGTTGTGCTTGAGCCATAGCTTCGCGGAGTTTATAATTACGGATCTAAATCGGCGGTAGAGCATTGTTTAGATGTAAATTTACCTGCGTCGACAACTGTGTCATGGTTAAGGTCCGTTGGTCGAGTTCATGGGTTAGTTGGCGGATTTTGTTCTCCTAAAAGATTGCCAACGCAAGGTTATTGGCTTACATGTTCATAGACTTGATCTCGATACACGCGTGCAGTTTCTTCCAAGGTCTTGGCAAAGGTTTTGTTTCGGTCTTCAGATGCGGCAAATTCCTTTTTCAGAGATTTGTTTTGTTTTTGAAGGTTCTCAATCTTGTTTTCCAGTTCTTCCACAACTTCTGGATCTGGGATATTGCTCACATGCAGGCGGCGTTCCAGATCTGGAAAAAATTTATATTACACTAGGCAAAAACCGAGGGTTCTATGCAAAAAATCGAAGAGAATGTGATTTTTAGTAGCATACAGTGGGGGACCTGATCCAGTGGAAAAAAGCGTACTATTTTGCATCCGGGAAGCATCAAAAATGTGGCAAAATGCCTCCCACTCAAAGTGAAAAAACAACGTTTTGAAGGGCGTACCCTTTCTCTCTCAAAAAGATCGGGCGTGCTTTTGAAATCGGGGTTTTTTCACTTGGAGAGGGAAGCATTTTGCCACATTTTTGATACTTCCCGGATGCAAAATGGTACGTTTTTTGCCACTGGATCAGGTCCCACACTGTACTAGTCGGGACTAGAAGTCCTGATAATTTTGCACTGTGCGGATTTGAACGTTTTGGGATGTCGCTGCGAAAATCGCGAAAAAAAGTGTTTTGCACAGTGCATTTTGTTTGTTTTTGCCTTACGTCGCGCGCGATTCCCACTTTTCGGAGCGACAAATCGTTTTTTTCAGAGTGCGACAGAAACGGAGCAAAATCCGCATAGTGCAAAATTATCAGGACTTTTTGTCCCGACTAGTAGTTGAACGATAAAGTTGTTACAAAGATAGTACAAGCTTGAAACATCTCTATTCTCACCTCGATTTTTCCCCATCAATCGCTCAATTTCATTGTGAAGCCGGGCCAACATCTGGCTGGTTTGCTGCTGAACATAGGCTATCTGCTCCTTCTCATGCTTTCTCCACATCTCATCCCGTTCGCTGAGGGCTTCATTTAGCTTTTCTTTGAATTTGTCGTTCAAGTCTTCAATTCGATGGATTGACAATGGAGTGCAATTAGCCTGAAGGATAAAACATTTGAGTCATTGGTCGGGAAGTTGAGATTTCTTACCTCCGACGGCATGGTGGGGCTGTTCTCGGGGCTTGTGTGTATTTCCACCGACATCTTTGTGAGATAGGCCCTAAAAAGGAGCAAAGTTTAGTCTTGATGACATTAATTTATATGTCAAAAATAACATAAAAAGTAAAAGAAATGCATAACACACGAAATTGTTGCGTAAAAATTGTGAGATAGATCTAGTAATATTTTTTTTGTTGGAAAAAATGCATTGGTCAAAAACTTGCGGGATTTTTACAATTTATGCGCAATTTTGACAAAAGCCCTAAGGTCGTGAAGTCATAAATAGCCTTTTAAAAACCTCTAACTCCCCAAAAAAAACGGTTGTAAAATCGCCTGACACTAATTAGCAGTAATTTCGAATCCCAATTCTCATCAAAACACCCATCAGGTTGTCAATGAAAGTTATATTTCCAATCGATTGCGAACGTCGAAAACAAAAAAAGAATGGTTTTGTAAGAGCAAACTCTACTCTCGCAAACATTTTGACTCCCAAAAAGTACACGTAAAAAACAGCGAGGCCCAAATTAGAGGAAAGTAACTCGGGAGGAATCAATTCTCGTCATTTGAGGGATTATCTCGGCTATTTCTAGGTTAGGAAACACCTTGGGAAAGGAAGAGTGTTTGTGACCGAGCCGTCAAAGTGAATTCATCAACCGTAATTCGACGTGAGAGTGAGCATATTAATGTGAAAAAGTGCATATGAGAAAGGGGTGACTTTGGACAGTGTAAGGTCACAAAGAGAGCAAAAGGATTAGGAAATTGCAGTAATGGGAACTAAAATTACTTGATGATATTAACAGGTACTGCTATAGTTGTCTAGACTATAAAAATAACTTTTTGTAAACTTAATTTTTGACAATACATTGAATTTTGCAACGATTTGGGAAGTCATGTCCTACAGATGAAGGAACGAGAGGAATGGTGCAACAGCTATATCCAAAAAGAAATTTTCGTACTGGCAAAAAATTCCAGGCGATGACTTTTGAAGTCTCGTTTTTAATTTCTGCAAAACGCGGTAAAAAATTTAGCATACATCGTAACAACTGCCATTCTAAATTCGCTTCAAAACTTACATCCCAATCAACCCACCCAACCCAACCCTCAAGTTCTCACCTGCTGCGTTTGCAGAGCCTAGTATAATATAACGTTTGTCAAGCCCATAAAACGAAAGCTCTTATTCCGCTTTCCCAACCAGTAGACTCAAGGAAGCAGTAAAAACATAACCTCCCCGCCATTTGTTTAGATGCGTCTCTCCTCCCGCACTGGAGATCGTCATGGTGGACCAGGGATTAATCGCCCCCAAATCTAATCTTCAGCCAGAATCCCATTTTCCATATTTTCCCGTGCAGCGAAAAGCGTTTTTCCTGTTTTGAAACTCATAAAAATCGGGATGGACAATAAGAGTTTTGAGAAGGAATGGGGGAAAAGTAATAGGTCGAGGAAAGAAAAGTAATAGGTTTAAGATACGTTTCGAAGCTCTTGGCGGTGTGATTAACAAACCGGTGGTCTGCAAAAAACGGCTCGGAGTGGGGTGTTGTCAAAACAGGGGGCTTTGAATTTGATCCTCTGTTTTGCGTTCGGCTTATCCCGGAGATAGTGGGCTTATGGAAGGGGTTACATCATGCAGGATGACAGGGATATACTTTCTGGAAAATTCGAGTAAAATTGGTATTAAGTTTTTAAACCGAATGTTCCTGAGGGAGAGAAAAGACTGTTATTAAGTCCAGATTTCGAACCCCTAATCCCCCAGGAAATGATATCAAAAAACGTTCAGAGAGCTGCACGGAACTCGGAGACAGGAATGAACACTTGATGTTTTTAATCTACCATTTGCGGCTAATCCCCACATCGAATCAAAGACTTTGACAAAAACGTACGCTTGGAACTTTTATGAGCCCATAAAAGAACTCCTTTATACGAAAAAAAGCTGCCGCTGTATATAATATTCGTCCAGAGAACATTACTAATTGGGGCTATATAAGCTATATAGAAAACTGGATAATAATAGTCGTCTCGGTTGTTTTTGAACAAGTATTTTTGGCCAGAAAAATAACCATTTACCACCCTCTCGATCTCCATGGAGTTAATTTCAGCTGGCGGAATTATCACCAGTGTAAAAAACATTTGGGCTGAGTGTAAAGGGGACGTAAGCCCTAAGGGTCAGCGCGGGAAAAGAAGCGGTTTCCGAGCGCTAATCGAAACAGAAGGCAAGTTGAATATAATGCTGAAGGGCTGCGCGGAAGCCCTTGAAATTCGAGTCTCCCCTGTCAACGCTGTGCAACCAGAAAAGGAAAAAAGTGTGTACTGAAAACAAAAGGTCAAAATCTGCAGAGAAACTTGTGAAAATTTCCATTTTTACGACAAAAGATGGAGCAGTTTGCCGTAGGGGAAATTTGCATGACTAAATTAAATAGGTTGTTTTGGCAAATGTCAAGTGCCATTTTTGGCAAAAACACCACTTTCCAAACTTGAATTTTGATATATTTTTGAAAAATATCGAAATTATAATGAATAAGCTTTAATTAAATTCGAATTACAACTCAATTTGCAACAAAAGCTATGCAAAAAAAGAGGATTAAAGCTTGAGACAAATAATTGGCTTTTATGGCCTCTGACCTCGAGGGCACGAAACGTTTTTTGTCTGTGTCCCTTCTTTTCTTCTTTCAAAAATCCGGTGGCAGACTGTCTTCGGAATCCTTGAATTCGGCGTTCGGGTGTTTAAAAGGCGGAATGGAAAACGTGGATGAAGTTATGACAAAAAAACATGAACATAGTTGATCGAGGAAATGACGTGTTTGTGTTTTGAATATTCATCTTTTGCTTGGTCATGATTTCTCAAGGAACGGTCAGGATTTGGGTTTGGATGTGAAAAAGGCTATAACAAATGGGCCACTGGCACCACAGATCAAATAATTTATAATTTACAGAGCTTCAAAATACTGTGGAATCTTCTGTCAGCTTTAGGTCAAGCTCTGTTCAACGAAACTTTTCTATAATGAATAAACGTTTGAGCCCTTGCCGATTCATTCTACAGAAGTTTGAGTGTAAATTAAATGTGTCATTGTGAGCTTTATTCCATGGATTTAATCGAGACAGAATATTGCATATATAGATGCCATATGTGATGTTTCTACATATGTTTCAAAACAGCTTTACAGACCGCTGAAGCCTGAAGAAATCGCATACCTGTGCTCACGAACCCCTAAGCCCAAATGCACAACCATTTGTAACCCTGCATATGAATAATATACAATGGCTACTACATACTGTCACCTGTGTTAACAATAACCCTCTTTCAATCCTATACCACGCACTGTTCGATTATGAATCACGGCAAAGTCCTTGTATTGCTTTTTTACATACAAATTTTAAGGCCATTCAGCCATGAGAGACCATTCTCAATTCGCATGTCATAATCGTCTATATTTGTTCGTACTTGCTTAGCACTTTGTAATCTCTAGTCTGCACTTTCGTGAGCCCACCAAAACGAGTGCGAGTCAGTGCCGGTTCAGGGTGCAAGTACTGTGCAAAAGCGAGAGATATCCCCGTTTTTGTCTGCGGCCTTTCTCCGAGATGCTTCAATTATACGGTCTTTTCGCGGTTTCCGCGTGTGCGTCCCCCTCTGCCGTCGCTCGTATACGATGCTCGGTGGGGACAAATTGGAGGGGGAAGCGGGCGCGAAACAGGGACGCACGCGGCGAGCCGCATAGCACGCACTCGGCATGGTGGTTGGAGAAAAAAGTAGTGGTCATTGAGAGGAGTCGGATGCGTGGTATATGGAAATTTCGTTTCATTTCACTGTGTTCTTTGTTCTTTTTTTGGGGACGAAACATTCGGGATGGCGTTATCTCCATTCAAAGCGTATAATCGCGTTCAATTGGAAGGAAATTAGCGCCCGGCTCGTCTCCAAATGGCGTGTGTTCTTGAGCAGTTTCTCAATCAATGAACCGAATTCTCGACGCAAAAGTGAAGAGAATTTGATCGTCGAGTTGCGCTGTATGTAGGTCAGTTGGCGCGCGAACGGATTGATAACCTCTTCTTAAAGTCTCTGCCTCTCTGGCGCTTCGAACGTTTGCACCGGCTCTGCGGGGCGCGATTTGCATTGCGAGCGCCAATTCTCGGCGAGTGGAGGGGTTCTCTTCGAACTTGTGGACGCACTGCCTTCTAACGTCTCTTCCACCACTCAAGCCACTCGGTTCGCTTCGAGTTTTTCGGCGACTCGAGCACGTAATAAACTGTGTTTCATATCATTTTGATCTTAGTTCTATGCAAATTATGCAAATTATAAAATTAGAATTTGATTGAAATTAGCAAATTCATCAATTCATCTTCATTTTGATCTCCTCCGAGCGGTCTAGCAATCAAGTTGCAGTGTCGTGTACGCGGGTTTGTAGTCTACTATTTGCTGTAATGTTCTTGTCTTCATGGTCCTCGAAAAGAACGGAATTTTGAATGCCCTAGATACTTGTAAGTAACTGTTTCTAGGCAACTGAAGATTCATTTTTCATTTCTATAAACGCGGCTTTTTATGGGGTTTTCAAAGTAGCGAGTTATTGCGCGTGTTTACTAGTCTACGGGAAAAAACTTTTGACCAATTTATTATTTAATTTTTGTCATTCCAGATTCGTAGCTTGCGGAGCTACAGTTTCGAACAATTGCAGCCAGCCACAAGGTAACTGGATTGCATTGGAGGATGGCTGAAATCAGCAACGCCACTCAACCCGAGGAGTTGTTGCACAATGGCGAGCTGCAGTCCGGCCAACACATAAATGCAGAGGCTACGGCGGATTTGCGGAGACAGTTAAATCGAAGTGAGAGTGCCGGAAGTAGTAAGAGCAGCAAGGGAGAATGCAGAGATCTTTATCCACATACGCTCGATGCAACTGTAAGAATTGCTTTAAAAACTATGGATGATTCGAATTTTAGGGTCGTGATGCCAAGATTTATGTTAATGGAGAAGTTTACGATGGCCTTATCGAGAAAATTGAACCTGATGTAAGTGCGGTGACAAAAAAATAATAAAATATATGCCGTTTTGTATTGCCACTATGATATAATGTAACCCTCAGGCATTGTTTTAATTCCAGATGTCAACAAAAGTAGTGTACGCCACCAAAGACAATGGTGATGGGGAGCAACTGGCCCGAGGCACGGACCTCTCCTTCAAGCGAGAAGACATCTCTGTGATCAAGTTCCGCGTTGAGAAGCCCAAAGGCTTCCGAACGGACCGCGAATACAATAATGGAACAGAAGTAAACGAAAACGAAGAACTCGTGGAATGGCAGCCGGACCCCGAATGTGATACGACGGAAGAGAACGAGAATAATAGCCGTGGATGGTCGGTGGAGGAGATGTTCAGAGCCAACATGAAACTGGGTGTGAAGTCCACATTCGAAGGCGTAAACGAAAAGTATTGCACGGCAGTGCCCGAGGGCGATGAGGAAGCCAGAAGAAGGGCGGAGATCATTGCACAAGAAATTGAATCTCAAGCAGAAACTCAACGACATTACATGCTGGAGAATGACGACGAGGAGAGAGATTTGGATAAAGAAACGAATTTTAATAACCGAGGAAAAAGAGGACCCGGATATAATAATGGAAGGGCCAATCGAGGCCAGCCTTATGAAGCTGGCGCGAATAATCGAGGAGGAAATTGTAAGTCAAGATTTTCCTATAGTAGTTTAAATTTTAGACGGTCAAAGACAAGGTCAAGGCTTTTCGAATGGCCCTGGAAACAAATATGGCTCTCCGACCAATCGAAATTACACTCCTCGCCAAACTGGGCGTTCAACCGCCCCTTCAGGCGCGTGGCGGCAAGATTCACCACAACAGAACTCTTTCATTCCCCCTCAGTCGTATAACAACAGTGAAGAGAGATACGGCTCCACGTCGCCCGGAAGATCTCGGCAGTATGCTCAACGAACAGAGCCTCCCAGAGAACAGCATCCCACTGTTGAAGTGCAGCCGATTCCAAAGTCTCCGGTGCCAACCCTGCAGAAGCCGGAGTCTTTGTCGCCCACTGGATCCAGCGGCACGGCAGCGAGAGCGTCGCCGGCTTCGACCAAAGATGGATCGGAGGAAAAGTAAGTGCAATGCTTTAGTCATCAAAAAACCATTCGTTTTCAGAAAAGACAAGAAGAAATTCACGTTCAATCCGAATGCAAAGGCATTTGTCCCCACGCCCAAACTTGCCCAAACCCCGCCCTTGGGCTACATTCAGCAGGTCCCTCACATGCGACAGCAAATGGTGGTAACCTCGGTTCCACAATCTCAGTATCAACAAATGCCCCCTCAGCATTACGGCGGTGTTCAACAGGTCCTCCAAACCCAGGTCATCCCAATTCAGCAGTCGCAGATGATGATGCAACAACAAGCCCAATACATTCCTCATCAGCCGCCACCGTCGCAACAGCAACTGATTCAGACGTCGCTGCTTCATCAACACCCTCAACAACAGTATCAGCTGCAACAACAGCAGATCCCGTTGATGCATCAGCAGCAGGGACGGATACAAGTCCAGCATACGGGACTGGCGCAAGGTGTGGATCTGCAGAACGCGCATTTGCAGTCAATGGCCGGCCAACAGATGTACATTCCACAGCAGCAGATCGTGGCGGGAGTTCAGCCTTATCAGCCGGTAAGTTGAACTCTAATGTTGCAAAATTCTAAAAAATCAAAAAGCTTCCTCTCTTCAGAACAGATTGCCTTAAAATTCACGCTGCAAAGCTCTAATTAAACTCTAAATTTCAGGGCATCCCCCCGCCGGTCGTTCCCCAGTCCATGTTCAACCCGAACCAAGTTGTGTACGGCTACGGAACCCCGGGTGCCAACTGACGTCCCCCTCAAACTGCACGGACCGAATACGGGTGATGCTCGGCGTTGTATAGGCTAATTTATTGCGTTGTATTTATCGGCTGTGATCGCGCGCCGGAGGGATTGCATCTGAGAAATTTGCTGATATTGTTGTAGATCTTGTAATCCTTTCGCAAGCTGATCGCTTACGAAGAAAAAAAAGAATAAAAAGTAGTTCAACACTTCTTCATCTTTGCAAAATTTTTCGAAAGATTTTTACTTTCTTGACAATGTACACATACAGCTCAATAGCGAGTTCAATGTCTTGGAATCGTTAAATGGCGTCGCGACACTTGCGGGCAACCACTTTGCGGGCAACCAGTTTGCGGGCAAATTTTTTGCGGGCAACCACTTTGCGGGCAAAATTTGGGGGGTCACATTTGCGGGCAGCTGAAACATTTGCGGGCAGCTGAGACACTTGCGGGCAGCCTGGGACACTTGCGGGCAGCCGACATTTGCGGGCAACCGGAACCTGAGGGTAACAGGGTGGAGGTGGAAATATTACTGCGATATTTTGGAAATTTGGCGACATTTGCGGGCAGCCGACACTTGCGGGCAGCCGACATTTGCGGGCAACAGGAAAAAACAATCACACAGACTGTATAGGAACTTTTGGAACTGTTGCCCGCAAATGTCGGCTTCCCGCAAGTATTGCCTGCCCGCAAATGTCGGAAATTTTCCGAAATATCGAAGTAATTTTTCCACCTCCACCTTGTTATCCTCAAGTGCCGGTTGCCCGCAAATGTCGGCTGCCCGCAAATGTCGGCAAATTTCCAAAATATCATAGTAATTTTTCCACGTCCATCCAGTTACCCTCACAATCAGGTGTCGGTTGCCCGCAAATGTCGGCTGCCCGCAAATCTTCCAGGCTGCCCGCAACTGTCGACCCTGCCCGCAAATGTCCCAGGCTGCCCGCAAATGCCGGTGCTGGCCGCAAATGTCGGCTGCCCGCAAAGTGGCTGCCCGCAAAAGATTTGCCCGCAAACTGGTTGCCCGCAAAGTGGTTGCCCGCAAGTGTGCGCCCGCCCGTTAAATATTGCTTTCCTTGAGCACAAACGGAGCTACAAGGCTGACTGTGGACGCGTTCTTTTCGGTCAGGGAATCTCTTGGGACCATCTCTCTTTTGATCCGATTGGGCGATCGTTCAGCATAGGAGAAGAAGGTTTTCATGTACTTTTTCTCATAGTCCGGATTGAATAGGCCTCCGCGACATTCACTCTCCGAAATGTCATCAGGAAGAATCTAAAATTTGAATAAACAAAGAAAAAAACTTATAGGTGAGGTGCTCAAAGCGCGACCTACAGTGAAAGGGACCTGATCCAGTGGCAAAAAACGTACCATTTTGCATCCGGGGAGCATCAAAAATATGGCAAAATGCTTCCCTCTCCAAGGGAAAAAACTTTACTTTGAAGGGTGTACCTTTTTTCCCCACAAAAAGAGTGGGCGCGTTTTTGAAATCGGAGTTTCTTTACTTGGAGAGGGAATCATTTTGCCACATTTTTGATCCTTCCCGGATGTAAAATGGCACCTTTTTTGCCACTGAATCAGGTCGCCCACTGTAAATTTAGGCAAAATCTGAGTGTTGCAGTTCGAGCACTTCCTTTGCAAAATACGACAGCTCTCAGCTCTTTGTTATGTATGCTTTCCCTCCAAACTCACATGAATATTCTTCTCTCTGACCAACTTCGTAACCTTCGGCGACAACGGTTCATAAATAATGTTCTTTTGCTGATACTGCGAGCTCTTCAAAATGTAATCCAACTGTTCCTTCGACAACAACCTCGACCTGACTCGATAGATCTTCCCACCCGCTGTTTTTATGATTTTGATCCCTTTGTGTTTGAGTAAATGTTCACTATGATGTATACCCGTCATCACAGCCCCTTTCGCGTCCTCCATTTTCGTCCCGACGTAATGGATTTTTCGAATGTAATGGGTACCCGCAGTATCGATGCACATGGTAGCTCTGAAATTTAGAGAGAATTTGTTGAGATTAATGGGTAAATCAGGGTCATAGCAAGCTCAATTTCTTTTTTTTAAATATTTTCTTGGCTTTAAAATTTATGAGCTTTGAGATCGACTTTAAAATGGGTTTACGACTTTTAAATCGCTTTAAGAATAGCCCCGGGTCATTTTTATTGAATAGACAAAAGTTGGTCACCTTTGAAGCCTTGTAAAAACTGCTATGATAAGCCTGACCACACAAAGCATATATATTAGTAGATAGTGTTTTCAACGTACTTTTAGGTGATATTAACAGTAGTACCAAAACTTTCATTCTCTCTGTAAAAAATGGACAGCTAAAAAAACAGCACGGTCATACTTCTACGCCTAATATTTTTGACGTCAACATTTTTTAACATGCGTAGAACCATTATTAACCCTTTGCATCTAAAACCGCCTTACGCCTTACCACACTTACAAGGCTAATCCAAAAATGATGTAGCAAAGTGTGATAACGATATACATTTGTTTCGTCGGGACGTAATCCCCAAATCCGATAGTTGCCATTGTGATAAAGCAAAAATAAAACGCCTCCATATAAGGCCATTCCTCGAACTTCTGGAACAACAGCCCTCCCAGCGCCGTATACGACAGGATTACGACCAACACCATTAAAATCGGAATTCTCAAGGGTTGTTTATTTTCATCGACGAATTCCTCGTCCTCTTCGTCGAGGCTGTTCGGGTCTCTGAGGTCATTCAAGTTCATACTTCCGGCCTTTTCCGTGGCCGCGGTGCCTGTGGATTGCGCTGAGGGGGATGCGCTGTTTTTCCGGCGGAAATGCGAGAGACGACGGGATTGGCGACGGACCTAGAAGGGGGTGTAAAATACGGTCATATGCGATCACAATTTTATAGACAAGGGTTATAAAAATCGCGCTTACAGTGGGGGACCTGATCCAGTGGCAAAAAACATACCAGTTTGCATCCGGGAAGTATCAAAAATGTGGCAAAATGTTTCCCTCTCCAAGTGAAGAAACTCCGATTTCAAAAGCGCGCCCGCCCTTTTTGTGAGGGAAAGGGCGCGCGCGTCCTTCAAAAGGAAGATTTTTCGCTTGGACGGGGAAGCATTTTGCCATATTTTTGATGCTTCCCGGATGCAAAATGGTACGTTTTTTCCACTGGATCGGGTCCTTCACTGTATCAACGAGCTCGGTAATCAACGGTCTGCTTTATGAGAGAGCACGTAAAATAAGGAGGGTTGGCCAGACAGGAAACGATTTTCACCCATATATTTTTGTTTGTGAATAGAAAATTTTGATTTTTTTGTAGAAACATTCATCACATAGTTATATAGAAATTCAGCCCAAAGTTTTAAGTCCTTGGGTCGTTAAAAAACGTTATTTTTGGACAACTTTAACAAAAAAATTTCGGTGATTTCTGGAAATCCCTTGCTAGGAGCCTCCAATACGTCAGAAAAACTTTTTTTTCATTTTTCCCTATTAGTCCCGTGTAACAATAACTTATGTCAAACTTACATTCTTCATAAAAGCCCGAAGTTTCAAATGAGCATAGTTTAAGAATTCACTTAAAAACCTTCCAATATCCGCGATCGTAACCAACAACAACGGGATTCCAACGAGAGCGAACAAAATACATGCAATCCTTCCGGTTTCCGTCACCGGTACCAAATGACCGTACCCTAAACATCATCATTTTTCCATTCAACACATTTTTCCCGTTCCTACCGATGGTCGTAATCACAGTTGTGGCGAAGAACACAGCGTTTGGATATGTCCACAAGTTGCTCATTTGATCCGTTTGGTTGAGCAGATGCTTCTCGTTGATGAACTGGTTACGGTAAGCGGCGAAGATTTCCTGGACTAGTCGTTCAAAGTATTCTTGGTTTATGCCGTCGAAGGTGTCGCGGGAAATAACTGTGTCGGGATGGTGGGTCAGATTCCAGAGGGACTCTTTGAAATTTTCTCGGAGTCCGAAAATCGCTCGGAGCTCATTGTCTTTGGTCTGAAGATTTTTGAATTCCAAAAAATACGTCATCATTTGATGAAACTTGGCACAAATTTAGAATAATTTTTTCTAAGATATATGCGAGAATCCCAACTCGCGCTTTGCAGAAACAACCGAGATTTTTAGATCGAAAGTCGGCCAAAATTAAGGACTTTTTGCCAAATATCGGCACGAAAATTTGCATGCCTACTTCTACTGTAAGGGATAATGTTTCTACAAAAAATCAAATTTTTCCGCACAAAACTGCCAAAGTTATGGCCAAAAAGCGCTTTTCTCTCTGACCGCTCTCCACGTTTAGCCTGCTCTCTCGGCGGCAAAAATCGTTCGATATCTCGCAAAGCGCGAGCTAAAACTTTCAGGAATTGATATTTAGTCCATACCCGACGTGTGTGCAAAATTTAAAGAATATCTGAGCGTCGCACTTGGAGTACTTCCCCTGTTAGTTGAAAAAAAACATCATTTTGATAAATTTTTTTACTTCTGGATGACCGATTTTCCGGGATTTTATAAAAAAAATATGAAAAAAAATCTTTTTTTGGCGAATCGAATTGTACAAAATTTTAAATCTCATGTATAAATAATGCCCTCAGGCATTGAACTTACAATAATTTCATTTGGCCCTTCGATCCGTTGAAAAACCGCAGCTCCCACCAACAAATAGACCAATAACAATATACAAAGTCCAACATGAGGTAGGATTCTCTGAGCTTTCTGAAAAAGAAGGCTTCATAAACGAAAAAGAATACGTTAGATTACCATTTTTATTTTTTCCATCTTCGTAAGCGGGTCATATGTGTATTCATCACCGGGATCTGAGGGTAATCTTGCGTTCTCCAGATCGTCGTTCAGTTCGTCCGAAGCGAAGGAATCATTGTCATCGGAACTGTTCTAAAGACCCAATTTATTTGTTAGACCTTCAAATTATAACCGCTTTTGGTTCAAAAGTCTAGAGGAATATTCAGAAAAAGTTGAAGGAATGATCTATGGGGAACAGTTTTTTTGTTGCCCTCAGGCATCTGTCTAATTTTTATGTCCTGTATATTTGATCTTCAAGTTTTTTAGGGTCTAAAAATTAATTTACAATTATTTTAGACAATAGTTTTGACAAAATTTTTATATTACTTTAAGCAGGGTAATGTAAAAAATTTCGATTTTTTTACGTTTTTGCTGCCCAATAATAAGAATTAAGGTCTCAAATAAAAGAATCAAAGTAAAATTCATAAATAGGATAGCATATATGTAGCTTACCAACCGAAATTCAACATCTTCACCAGCCGGCGGAATGTAAACTGTATCGCGCCTCATTTTCCGAGCCTCTGGCAACCCGGCCAGCCCTCTGAAAAGCCATCAAATTAAAGTCGAAATCACATAACCACTTCATAAACATCAATTATGACCTCAAAATTGCATCAAGATCAAACCTCGTCAAAATTCCGGCTATATTCGGAAAGAAAACAACTGATTAATCAACTAAAAACAACACTTTCGATTTGATAAAGCCCTCCGATCAGGACTTTGTGAGGTTGAGAACAAAGGCTGATCACTAAAAAAAACGGGTTTCGGTCCGTAATTGCCGCAGGCCATTTGGCCAGTCGCTTTTTTGTTTTCCTGAAGGTTCAAGTCCGGGAAGGACAAGATAAAATGAGATGTCACTGAGTTTTCATGACCTAAACACATCTAAGAACATTGCTCTTTCTTCCTTGTACTCAACATTCTTCAATTTTGCAAAGTTACGATACATGTGGACATTCCGCGTCAATCGATAATTTCTGTGACACTTCGTCCAAAAGAGAAAATACCCAGATTTTTGCAAAACTGCGGGCGAAATTTTTGATAATTCGTGAAGATGAGCGCAGTACCAGACGGATTGGATCGAAATGTGATCCGTATTCGACTCAGACAGCTGAATTCCTCGCAAAATTCCATCCAAACCATGTCAATGTGGATTGCACACCATCATAATGAAGCTGGATCAATTGCAGATGCTTGGCTTGAGGTATGTTGATTTTGAGATTTTTGTCTTTGATTTTAGATGCTTTTACGTTAAGGAAGCGGTCCGAATGTTGGTTTGTTTGCGATCTTAAGCACTATTATGTGATCCATAAGGCTTTTAACCGAAAAAGGTCAAATAAGACCCAAAATTTGCCGAATTGGAAGAAATTTTGTTTGGTTAGCTAGAATACTCTCTACTCTTCCAATTTCAGGAGCTCTGCACGAACAAGGCCAACAGCGACTGGTGCAAAGCCATGTTTTACTTGGCCAACGACGTAGTTCAGAACTGCCGAAAGGAAAAGAAGCATGTTTGCGAGGAATTCTATCCGTTCTTCCTTGCAGCGGTGGAGAAGCTTGGCCGAAGGCAAATTGACAGATGGGAGAAGGTGATTGGATCAGTTTATCGGGTTATTGACATCTTAAAAGAGCGAAATGTGTATACACCTGAACAGATAAAAGAACTCAAATCTGTTATCAATTGGAGGCCGGCAGACGGTGCGCAAACTCCTTCGAGTACGAATTCGGGCGTCAGCCCTGTAAAACCTGCTAGGAAGGAGGAAAAGGTAAGAGCTTGTTTGATTTTTTGATTTTAAGCATGATTTTATATTGCACTTGACATCTGAAGTGAAGTTTTCATAGAAAGATGTGTCAAGAGCTGCAATAGATGAATCCAATAGCTTACAACCTAACTTACCTTTTTACAGCCTGAATTGAGCATTGAACAGAAACGAGTGATCAGAAAGAAGATTTTTGAAGATGTCGAGACATCACTGAAATCTCTGATTTCTCCAGCCAGCACAGATTCAGCAGTAAGGTGAGGAGAATATTTTTTTATTTTCTTTGCTTTTAGGTATTGATAACAGTTATTTAACTTGTCTTCCTTCAATTTTCATCAAATTTTATATTACTCTACCTATTTCAGACAGAAAATTGCTGGATATTCCGAAACAATCGCTGATACTCGAAAAACAGCCGAGCCAAAAACTCTTCAAGAAGCTAGGGAGATCTACGATAAAGCGAATGAAGCTCTTCCATTAGTTCGAAATTATGCTCAAAGGTAAGTGCCTTTAATAATTTAATCTGCTGTTTAGAGTGAAAGCAGAACTGACCGGGACTCGAGAAGCCCAGAAGAGAATGGATGCGCTAGCAGAGTTCATGAAAAGCGAAGTTGAACGAGATAAGGACATTCTGGAGCTGGCTAGATCTTGTTTGGATGGACTTCACAAAAAGAAGGCTAAAGTAAGATAAATTTGATATTTTTGGATTGAAGGTACTATGTTTGACGGGTGTGTCGGGTCCCAAAATGAAGATTAGAGCGTGTTCAACAATTTTATTTTTGAATTATTTAGATTGAAGCCGCCCGCAGCCTCCTATCCGACTCCAAAAACACCTCGAGCAGTGTTGCTCTGCCCGAAATCGAAAACGACTTATGACCTCAATGTATATAGCTTTAATTTTAGTTATAATAAAATTGTATCGTCTTCAGGCTGACTCTGCTATTTTGCGACGTTTCTTTCTGTTAGATTTCCAAATATTTTGTCAACGGGCCGATCTCTCGGGAGCAATACCTCATCTTTATGCCTTTCACCCGCCGGCTATAAACATTTTGCGAGTGTTTTTTTCATTTTGCCTAAAAGCCATGTCATGTTGGGGCGGTCCAAGTTCAGAGTTCGACCTCGTTCCGGGCATTTTTGCAACTAATTTCAAGGCTGGGACTTGCTTTATAAGCAAGGATAATGTGAGCGAAATTTTAATTTTTTTTAATGAGGAAGAAGTTTGCGGGTTGCAAAAATATTTTTTATGGCTGATTCGAAGGTCTGGGGCATATGACCCGTCATAAATTTAAAAGATTTTTGAATTTTTGCCAAATTTGGCATTCTGTTGCAAGGGTCTAAAAGTGGAAATTTTAGTACCAAATGTGATAATTGACGAATTTAACGCTTCATTATAGCTGTAACTTTTGTTTTTGGGAAAACTGAACCATTTTGATATATTATCTATGATGAATTTGATGTAAATCTAACTTTTTTCAATCATCATTATCGTTTATTCTCCTTAATCAAGCCCTTTTTTCACCATTTCTTAAATTTTTGCAACTTCCGGCGTCACAAATGAAAAAAAAATTTACATTCAGATGTGAAATTACACTTAACGATTCACTTCATACCCTCACGCAAATCTTCACGTATTCCTGCAGCCTCTTATACGCCCTCATTTCATATGCAATCCTTCTCCGCTTTCGCTTTTATCGGATGTTCAAAAGGCATGGCCGGATATTTAATTACGGTAAAATCTCGGCCCCGACACACTCAAAAACTGGGACAAAAAGTTGAGTTCTTCCTTTCCGGAAGGTCCTCGGGATTTATAGAACACTTTGTTGTGGAGATTTCTTGACTGTGCCCGAACAAAGGAATACTGAAAATTTGATTTCGTCTTAAAGATTCATTGAGTTTTGCCTCTTTCGGTGGGCAAAGAATGGGAGTTTTTGGATTTTGAGGGTTATTTTGAGTCGATGAGGGATTTAATAAATGTGAAGAGAGGGGATTACTGTATCATGAGAGTAATTTTGGGGTCGTACTTGAGCTTTCAATATGAAAAACTGAATTTTTTGTAATTATCATGTGGAATCATCATGGATAATATAGTATTGTTTTTTGGTCTATTTTTGATGACTGTGATGTTGCAGATGAAGATTTTTATTATTTTAAGGCTATATGGGGAAGAATGAAGGTAAATGCAGCCCTGATTTTTGAAGGAAAATCTGTTATCTTGTCCTAGATGACTAATAATATCAAAATAATTTGTTGACAAATTAATAGTTTGGCCTGTATAAAGTACTGCAAGACACGGAAAGTCCTATCAATGCTCTATTCTTTCGTATAAAAAACTTTTGACCAGAATAATTCAAAATTTTTATATTGCCCTTCAAACGTCCCCTTCTTCTTCCTAAACTCCAAACTCTTACATCTCACGTAGTCTTCTTTACATTGACGCCCAAACTCATCGAAATCCTCCCAGGTTTTTGATTACTCTCCCGGATTACGGTGTAATCCATAATCTCCCCCAAGGAGACACGTAGGGACTTAATTGCGTTTATATGTAATACGATTAGGCCCTAGATCTTTTTGTTTTTGTTTTTTCACAATCTGCACTATACACTGGTCGGCAAAATCTTCTTCCCGTCTCATATCTGATATAAGCTGTACTCGATTAATAGTCGGGATTTGTAAGGCTTCTACGTTGAAGTTTTTGGGGCTTGTTTGCAAGGAAATGGAAAAACTGGAAAGGAGTTATTGATTGTAAGGTAAGGCATATCTTCTGTAAATTTTATAGATGCCGTATGGGACTACTGTATGTATGAGCTATATACAGTGGTCCCTCATGGTCTCAGCTCGCATATGGGAGGGGATATTAAGAGATCCTTTTTTGGTGTAATATGAAAATTGGGGAGCTGGCAAAGAAATGCTTCTAGACTCATTTAATTTTGCGCTTACAAAACTGATTCTACTATTTGTTAACGCCTTACAGGTGTTTCTTGTGTATAATTGAATGTAACCTCAATTACGATTACTCAAGCCCCCGCAGGCGCATTTCAACAGGCCGTAGCAAACAAGCCAGTCTAGTGTCAGCATTGCCGCTTTTGTAAAAGAATCAGCTTTGTAAGTGGCAATGCTTACACTAGACCTGCTTGTTTGCTTCGTCCTGTTGAAATGTGCCTACCGGGGTCTAATTATTCGTAATTGAGGTTACATATTTAATTAGTATATACAAGAAACACCTGTAGGACGTTATGTAGCAAATAAAAAGCCCATAACTTTCGGCTATGTTGCTGGCTTTTGCCTAAAATATAATAACTTGAGGTTAAGCGTTATACAATGTCATCATAATATTTTCTATTCCTATTGGCTCAGTTTGATGAAGAGATTTTTTGGACGTTTCGTTTCCCAAGCCGTAGAGGCGCTATTCAAAAAAGCCGCATGAACCCTAAAGGGCTTAATTAATCTTGACCTTTTTTCGATTAAAATCCATCAAATCCAAGTTTCAAACACTCCCATCTACTTTTTTACTTCACTAATTTGACGAAACTTTTTCTCTCTACCCTCCACCAATGGCGTGTTATTTTTTCTTTTGAATAAACAAAAATTTACGTCCGTTAATTGGGCCAATTTGTGGGTGCGAACAGACGGGCCTGAACGTTAATTCAAGTGCGGCCAAGTGATGTTCTCGGATATCGGCAAGAGTGCGATGGAGTTCTGGTTTCATTTTGGGGTAACGAACACCAAATTTCGACCTTTGGCAACACTTTTTGCGGAAATTAGATTTGGGGGCATGGAGAAGATTTTGATTATTTTTGATGTTTGTGGGGGTTGAGTAAATTAGAACGGGTATTTTTAGGAAGCAAATATAAGAACAAAGGGAATAATACCCATTTTATTCGATGGTGTTATCAATATTTTGCTTGGCTGTAAATTTTTGGCCGAAAAGAAATTTATGAAATTTCGATAAACAAATGGCCAAATCGACTTAAAATTACAGTAACTCTTTAAAAAACAATGCCCACACATTATAAAAATCGTTATTCTACTGTCCAAAACCTTCAATTCCCACATTAATCAGAAAATTTATATTACACATGACCCACCAAATGTCATCATTTTTAAATTTCCCCTTTCTCCAAGCCATTTGCCAGTTAGTTTACTTCAAAATTAATATCCTTCCTCCGTTTTGCCGATTAATTAGGCGTTTTTTTCAAGTGGGCCGTAAGTGCCGAACCCCCGGAGATTTATGAGTCGATTTTTTCGATGCGAATTTATTTTTGGAGCCCCTCTTTGCCCTTTTCTCCGGGGGGATTTCGAACCCAAATTTAGCAGGTGTTGGGGCCAAGAGGAGTATTTTTTGGAGGGTATTTGGCCTTGAGAATATTAGGACATTTGATATTGGATATTAGACTTGAAGAGATGATGACTTTGAATTTTGAAAAAAATTTTTTTTTTCTGGTATGGTTATTTCGTATTTCAGCCTTTTTTGGGCACTTTTGGACATCAAATTATATTACATATACAGTGAGGGACCTGATCCAATGGCAAAACACGTCTCCTTTTGCATCCCGGAAGGGACCAAAATGACTCCAAACCCTTCCCTTCTCTAAGCTCCGCTTAGAGGAAAAAACTCCGCTTTGAAAAGCGCGCCCTTTCCTTCAAGGCGGGCTCTTCAAAGCGGGGTTTTTTAGTTTAGAGAAGGGAAGGGTTTGGAGACATTTTGGTCCCTTCCGGGATGCAAGATGAGACGTTTTTTGCCATTGGATCCGGTCCTTCACTGTACTAGATGCGACCTAGTTTGATATAAAAATACTTCGTCCTATTTTATTTGCCACATCCCGAAATATCACCTCAAGGATCCACACTGGTTATTTTTCAATGCCCTCCAACCATACTTCCAAATCGAACAATAAAGTCCATTCTCATCCAGACCTTCTAATTCCTCGTTTTCATAAAAATATTATCATTTTTTCATTGATTCATTCTCCCTGACGTATTCTGAGGGCGTTCCATAAAATTTTACACGCTCCAAAATCTCTGGATTAGCCACATCTCGCATTTTACCCCGCTCGTTAGGAGTTTCATTCCAGCTTCGCCTCTCACAGTCATAAACAACACTTGTTTATCGGAAATTCAATAAAAATATCCGGCCACTTTATCTCGAGCCTTCTATTTGCCAAAGTTTGACCTTCTTCGCTTCAAGGAACGGGGTTTTTGATGCGAAAATGTTGAAAGAAACCGGGGTTTTTTAATACACTTACTTGGGGTTGACGTGCATTTTGACGAAATTGTGGTCTTACAGTATGATTGTGATTGTTTTTGCTTAAAATTTTCGTGTCGGAAGTATCTGTGGAGTACAATTTTTCGATTTATTTAAATGCTCTACCTGTATTTTGGTCACGAATAAGAATTTTTGCGTGTCTGGTAGGTAATGTCAAGTGTAATATAATTTATAAAAATAAGGCGAAAATTTGCGTTTACTTTGTTATTCTGAAGCAGCTACTAAAGGCAGCTGCCATTCTTTTTACTAATTTTTATAAATTTCCAAAGTAAAAATTTGAAATTTGAATTTGCCGCCAGTTTTGGCATTCTGCCCAAATTGATATAGAATGCAGAATTAAATAAGAAAATAAAAATTTATAATGTACAGGGTGACAAAGAAAAAATGCAACTCATATTTATGGCCATATTTTGTCTAAAACACCAAACTTAACTAAAGTAAAGGTAAATATCAGCAACACAGAGTATTGTTAATAGTATGCTCAGTCAGTTTTAAGATGGCTATTCTTGGCGCCGAGATAGAGCTCAAAACGTGACTTTAAATTTTGGACGATTCGCCGGAGCTTTTTTTGGAGAAATCGGTCCCGTTCTTACCGCAGCGATCAATTAGCGGCTCCAAACTTTTTTGGCGTGAACTAGAGGTCTTGACCTCCAACCGAAGAAAAAACATAGTCCACCGGATTCAGATCCGGCGAGTAGGCGGCCATTTCGCAGACCACCTAAAATCGGGAAAACAGGTCCTTTCCTGGCCTTGCGTCTTTTTTGCTTTATGGGCGGTGGCGGAATCCTGCCACGGTGTCCGTTTTGAATCGCCAAGGTGCTACTGAGTCCACGGAATCACGTTGGCGTCCAAAATCTGGCTGCTAGACTTATCGGTTTGGTTTTGACTCTTTTATCCAAGAAAACCAAGGATATCACGCCGCTGGCGCAAAACTTTGCCCCAGGACCTGAGAGGCCGGATTTTTACTGGGTTCAAAAATAGCGTATGGTTTTTGACTCTAAACAGTCCAACTCCTGTCATTCTGGTGGTTGTAGACCTGCTCGGTGTTGAAATATTTCTCATCGACGGACAGGATCTTCTGTCACCGCTGAGCTGCGGCGCGACGCTTGAATTTTCGACATTTTTTCGGATATTGTTGCTTGTAGTATTCCGTGAGGCGCTAGGTTTTTTTGAGCTTGTTAGGCTTGCGCTACGGTGCATTGCTGGCCATTCATCGACCAGCTGTTGTGTTGATGACGGTCTGCCGGGCAATCTTTTTCATGGACACCATCAGATTTTGCTTCACTCGCTTTTTGATGATCTCAAAGTTGCCAGAAGTGTTCAAGATGCGCTTTCTTCTATTTCCTGGACACTTAACATCGTGGCCAAGCTCGTGGATTCGTTTGGTGGCTTTTGGCGTAGCAGATTTTCCCACACCGAGCAGTTTAGCAATCTCACACTGTTCTTTTTCTTCCCGAGACAGGTTTAAAATCGAGGTCCCTCTGTTTGACACTCAATACAAAGATGATAATCAATTGATATGGGCATGAAAATTAAAAGACTAGGACAGAAAAACACGCAGAATTTAATGGTATAAAAAATATTTCGCTACACCTAAACATTTTCGCGGCAGGACCCATGAAAAAAAGTTGCATTTTTTATTTGTCACCCTGTATTATGCATTTTAAGACAGCTTCATGCTAATTTGCGCAATTTTCTGGGTGTTTGTTATATTATCCATGACATCTAGATGAACTTCAAGTCTAATATGGGACATATATTCGGCCTAGAAGTATGACTTTGTCGTTTTTTAACGCTCATAATTAAGAGTTTTACATTAAAATGTATTTATTTATCATTGCGATTACTAACCATGACATTTTCCCAAAATTTTGGCAACTTTCAAATACCATCAGTGAAAACTTGTTTTTGTTTTGAGGCATCGCATGCATAATAGCATCCAAATTAACGAAACCCTTACCACTTTTCGATTTGCAATTGGATGTGCATTTAATTGGGTTACAACATTGTCGCAAAGGTAATAAAACGGGATGGGATGGCTGACATTACACTCGGCGGCCAAATTGGCGCCGGAAAGCGGGGGGATTTTAAGGCCGCGGAAAGGTCGAAGGTTTCCCCCTCATCCCAGAGTGGGCTCAGCTCTTGTTTTTCGGCCAAATTCCAGGTCGAAATTTGAGTTTATTTTGCATCGAAAAAAGTTTCCGCATGACCGAAAGATGCCGGGGGGACGGTACTCAACTCTAATCTCTTATGAATTTGTTTTTCACTTTTTTGAGGGCTGTAGACGGTGATTTATGGAAGAAAGGGTGGCTTGGCTGGTTGTAGATGCAAATAATTTTGCTAGAAGACTTTTTTCTGAGGGTTACAAAAGGTGTTTGTAATAGGAGGGCTTTTTTTAAATTACAGCAGATTCTGAAGGGAATCATTACGAATAGAACTTCGAAGCGTAGGAGTTTTTAACGTGAGGCTAACAGAATTGGAAGAAATTTTGTTTTGAATTTAAGACATTATTTTCTATGTGACAAGTTTCTACGGGGTTCCTGTGTGGCTTGGCAGAAACAAATCGACATTTTTTAGTCAAATATTACCATAAAGTCTACGTTTTTTCGTAGTTTGGTCTGAAAAGCCTCAGCGTGATTTCTAATAGAGAGAAAAACACTTCTGCCAAGAATCAAAATTTTCTATACAAAATTGGCAAAGATACGGTCAAAAAAACGTACGTTTTTATGAACGCTCTCCGCATTTTTCGTACTCTCTCATCAGCTAAATGTGTTGAATGCAAGTTATGAGCTAACAAGGGAAGTACCCCAAATGCGACGCTCAGATTTTGATGAAACTTGGCACAAATTTAGAATAATTTTTTCTAAGATATATGCGAGAATCCTAGTTCGCGTTTTGCGGAAACAACCGAGATTTTTAGATCGAAAGTCGGCGAAAATTTATGACTTTTTGCCGAATTTCGGCACGTGAAGTTTCATGCCTATTTCTACCGTAAAGGATAAAGTTTCTGCAAAAAATCAAATTTTTCCGCACGAAACTGCCGAAGTTATGGCCAAAAAGCGTTTTTCTCTCTGACCGCTCTCCACGTTTAGCGTGCTCTCTCGGCGGCATAAATCGTCCGATATCTCGGCGGCGCCTGCAAAGCGCGAGCTAAAACATTCAGAAATTGATATTTAGTTTATCCCCGACGTGTGTGAAAAATTTAAAGAAAATCTGAGCGTCGCACGTGGGGTACTTCCCTTGTAAATGTTCTAGGAATTGAGATGTTCCTGAAACTTTTATACGTCTCTAATTGTAAGCATCGCAAGTGCCCAAAATTTCCAAAAAATCTGAATGTTGCATTTTAAAACCATTTCTCGTTTTTTGACCAAACTTTCACCGATATCTTGTTTCAAAAAAGATGTTAATATCATAATTGCCCTATTTTTTGAAGACTTTCTCTTAAGCCTGCCTGCAGAAAACCAAAGTTATGTCTCATCGCATCTATTTATTATTCTTTATAATTGCTCATTATCTTGTTTACCCCGCCATTGCAATTATCGTGTAGTCCCAAGATTATAGATGGTTTATCCGTTCATTTCCATTCAATATATTCACATTAATCACACGTACGAACTTTTAGGTCTATTGTTTATTCTACACTTTTAATTTTCAATTTATTTAATCTACCATTTTCAGGGCACAATAATAAATTTTAACTTCAAATGTGGTCTTAAAAGTTTCACTTTTGAGTACGATCATGTTGCTGCAATTATTTTTTCTTTCGATTTTCGCTTTTCGCCAACATGAGGCCAAGGATTTGAGCAAAACAAGACTTACGGGGATCCAGGTGAGTGTAAAATACGATTTGTATGCTTTTATGATGCATTTTCCAGGCCAAACACATTTATAAATTGTTCCAAGAAGGGAATGTGAGCCTAATATTCGATGTAAATCAACAGCCAAACTCTCGGGCCTTATTGTTTCGCTTCTCGAGTGCTGCGAATCCAAGCAAATCCAACCTATACCTCCTCTCAGAGACTACTGTAAGTTATTTTGATCCAAAAAGTATCACAATAAGTTTTTAGGACACAAAAAATCATCTAACTCTTCGCCTTGGAAAAGAAATTTTCACCGTCGAAACAGGAATCTACAATCAAAACTTCCATCGAATCCATCTCCTGCTTGGCCATGGACACTTCCAAATCATTGTGGACTGCGTGAAAATCGCTGACAGCCCTTTCAATACCCACAACATTCCGGGGTAAGCTTTGAGCCAAAGTTTACAACCATTTCTCCTTACTTTAGTCATCAGAAAAAGTTGGTATTGGATGTGGGAGTTTCGCCCGACGATTCCTCCGTCTTCCCCGGTCATATCCGCGAATTCTCGGCTGACACGCCTCAGGCAACTCATATGCGATGTGCTGATATTATTCTGAGCCGTCAGCCGAGGCTGGAGCGATCGCTGGCCGAGGCCGATGCGGCCGAACTTGAAGAGGAAAGAGGGGTTCAAACTAATACTGTTAACGAAGATGGCGACCAGATCGCTGAGTTGGAGGAGAGAGTAAAAGTGCTGGAAGATGAGGTGGAGCATTTCCGATCGTATGTTTCAAAATTTGATAAGCGAATTCAAACCGTGGAACTTCATCAACGAGGATGTATGGTAAGTGGGATGGAAAATGCAAATTTTGAAAAAAGGTTGAAAAATTGAATTAAAATTAAGGCAATTTAGTACTCTATGGCAATTTTAGGTCATTTTTAGCAATTTAGCGGGGTAAAGATTCAAATCAAATATTTTCCGCCATTTTTGGCATTCTGTTTCAATCGTATTTTTTGCAATTTTTGATCAAAAGAAGAATGCTGAAACTTATTTTGATCACTTTCCCTTCAAATTAGCTCAAATCTCGTCAAAAGCGGCAATATCTTCTCCATTTTTAGGTGGATGGTCATCTCCTTCATATAGGCCAAAAACAGCCCAACTACCTCAACTGTTCGCAATGCCAGTGCTCAGCCAGCGGCGAGCTTCACTGTGGTCCCATTGGCTGTCCGCATCTCAAATGTGCCCATCCATTCAAGCCTCAGGGCAACTGTTGTCCGGTCTGCGGAAAACAATGCTATTACAATGGAAACAATTACGAACATGGAGCCGAGATCTGGCCAAAACAATGTGTACGGTGCAGATGTGATCATGGGCGAATGGAGTGTCAGTTCCAGTAAGTTTTGAGAGAAAACTCAAGTGAATTATTCAGGTTTTCTACAAAAATTGTAGCATATTTTTTCAAAATTTATATTATATTTACAGGGAAAGTACCCCAAGTTGCGACGCTCAGATTTTGCTCAAACTTGGCGCAAACTTAGAGTATTTCTCTCGAAAATATATGCGAGAATCCTAGCTCGCGCTTTGCAGAAACAACCGAGATTTTTCAACCGAAAGTCAGCGAAAAATTGACACTTTTTGCCGAATTTCGGCACGAAAAGTTTTATGCCTATTTCTACTATAGAGGGTAATGTTTCCACAAAAAATAAATTTTTTCCGCAAAAAACTAGCGAAGTTATGGCCAAAAAGTGTTTCTCTCTCTGACCGCTCTCCGCGGTTAGCATGCTCTCTCGGCGGCAAAGATTGTTCAATTTCTAGGCGCCGTTTGCAAAGCGCGAGCTAAAACTTTCAGGAATTGGTACTTAGTTTATGACCGACGTGTGTGCAAAATTTCAAGAAAATCTGAGCCTAGCACACATCAGATACAAAATTTTTTTTACTTAAATTGAAAAATCTAATTTGGAGGTTCCATTAGCATTGGTCCATATATGGGAGGTGCTTTATAAATTTCAGCGCACTTGTCTGTTCGACCCCTGCGGATTTCGTCCAAAGTTAACTTTGGACGAAATTCGCCCAATCTCGTCCTAAGAGTGGACGAAAATTTTTTTTGTCTGGACGAAATCAAAAAATCCACCGATTGGGCGAATTTTTCAAAATTTCGGGCCTCAAATGGACCAAGTCCAAAGTTAACTTTGGAATCGGTCCAAAGTTAACTTTGGACCAAATCCGCCATTTTTAGTCCAAAGTAGTAAAATTTTGGGATTTGAAGTCACACCCCGTATTTTTACATTTTAAGATTACTGCCGAGATTTTTGGGGCGGAGGGGGTGGAAAACAGTGGTAAGGCGGGACCAAGGACAAATTTTTGCTATAAGAAGCGAAATGTTTTACAGAACTGCCAGTTCAGGCATTTTCTTATATTGTACTAGGTATTTTTAAGAGTGATTGGTTTAATTCAGCTAGTTCTCAAGACGAAACCGTCTATTTGATCATACTGGTTTATTTTTGACATCCTAAATGTGCTTTAGGATGTCTAAATAGCCAATGCTAGCACATACTCAACAAAAAACCCCAACTGCGAGTCAAGGGGCCGACAAAAAGCAAATATCAACGATGTAAAACGTCGTTGACTCCGCGCAAATAGCTAAAAAACACGTGAAGTCTGTAAAATACAGCCGTAATCATAATTGAAAGCCAGGAGAACGAAGAAATACATGAAGAAAACTTATTTGTGACGAAAAATGTGTTTTTCTCGCCGCAAAAAAAAATTCAGAAAATGCATCATCCAAACTTCATAGGTTGGATGAGCGAAAGTTCTGAACCTGGTGTCTTTTTCAGGGTAAACTAGGGAGTGCTAGTAGTCATTTACAACCGTTTTTAATACACTGCCGCGTTATAAACGGGTGTCATCGTGACACATTTTCGGGACTAAGCTAGGCGCCGCAATTTGCGCCCTGTGATTTCACAGATTTGACTGTCGAAAAGTTTTTCTTCATGTATTTCTCTGTTTCCGTGGCTTTTAATAATTATGATTACGGCTGTATTTTACAGTCTTCACGTGTTTTTTACCTATTTTCGCGGAGTCAACGATGTTTTACATCGTTGATATTTGTTTTATGTCGGCCTCTTGACTCGCAGTTGGTTTTTTATAGAGTTTGCGCAAGCGTTGGCTATTTTGACATCCTAAAGCAAATTTAGGATGTCAAAAATAAATCAGTATGATCAAATGGACGGTTTCGTCTTGAGAACGAGCTGAATTCAACCAATAACTCTAAAAAATACCTAGTACAATATACGAAAATGCCTGAACTGGCAGTTCTGTAAAACATTTCGCTTCTTACAGCAAAAATTTGGCCTCGGCCACCCTTTACCACTTTTTTGCACCCGCTCCGCCCCAAAAAATCTGTATAATACCTGTCACAATATAATAAATAGGATGCACAGGCAGTCCTGTAAAAATTTCGCTTCTTAGAGCAAAAATTTGTTCTTGGTCCCCCCCTTACCACCTTTTTCCAAATCCTTCCGCCCCAAAAAATATGTATAATACCTAGTACAACATAAAAAAGAGGATGGCTATAATACACAGATTTCAAAAGTCGAATTTTGATTTTCCAACCAAAAAGGTAAAAAAATCCAAAGTTTGGACTTAGTCCAAACTTTGGACTTCGTCCATCCAGATGGACGAAAAAGCAAAATTCCACGGGAAGAAATATGCTTGGACTAATACCGGCAGATTTAGTCCAAACTTTGGATCCGGCAAAAAGTCCATGAAATTTTTGGACGAGATTGGGCGAATTTCGTCCAAAGTTAGCTTTGGACGAAATCTGCAGGGGTCGAACAGACAAGTGCGCTGAAATTTATAAAGCACCTCCCATATATAGAAAATATCCAAAATATTAGCAAAATCCCTCTGCACAAAAAAAAGTTGATGCGATTTGAAAATTTGGGATTAAAACAGGCGTTTTTGGAACTGAAAACATCCTTCGGTTGTAGGAATTTCGGGTTTTCTTCAACAATAATGTTTTTTTATATCTAATCTATCAATTACAGGGCGAAAATGCCCGTTCAATGCTGATGTGTAGCATTTGATGTACTTCCCTTGTTAATAAAAAATAAATTTTTATTTTCAGCCGTCCCGAGAACTGTCCCAAACTCGACTGCGTTCATCAAGAGACCCCCACGAACCAATGCTGTCCCGTCTGCGTCAATGTCGACTATTGCGCGGGCGACAAAAACCCGTGTCATCCGAATGCGGAGTGCGTGAATGGGCAGTACAAGGCGGAATGCCGATGCAAAGAGGGGTTCTTCGGGAACGGAACAACCTGCTACGACATCGATGAGTGTTTGTGGGATATGAGTGCTCGCGAACAGTTGGGCGGATGCGAGCAGGGGACGATTTGCATCAACTTGCCGGGCACTTTCAAATGCGATTGCTTGCCCGGCTTTCAGCGATTGGACGACAGGCATTGTTTGGATCTGATTCGGATATAAAGTTCGAACTTTTGGATTAGATTTGGTTTCGAGTTTCGTGTACATTGTATAAAAAAAAGCTTTAAAATTATTTTTTTGTAATAAACATTACTATAGATGTGAAATTTAACAGTAAAAAAAATTAAAATTTTTTGAAAAAAAAACCTTCAAAAACCAAAAAAAAAATCAAAATTTACTGCAAAAAATCATCTTTACAATGACAAAAATTGACTAGGCACATAATACATGATACAAACAGCTGACTTCTTTAAAAAATGAGTTAAAAATCGTATTCAGTATACTGTAACAAGCTTAAAAATGAAATTTCTAAACAATAACCGGGTTAGTAAAAAAAAATCTAAAATTCACCAAAATATATATCTAAAAATACAGGAAATTCGATATAAATATTTAAAAATCATGGTTAAGTAATTGATAATCAAAATTAATTTAAATTTTTTGGACATAAGTGAGGGGAACCAGGCCGATTTGGCCATTTAGACGGCCCTTTACCCATTCGGGGCCTTGCTCTTCAACCACATCGATGACGTCATGCGCTTTGAAATTCAAATCCTCTGCCACTGAGCTAACATAGTCGTATAATGCCTGTACTTTGTACAACGAGGAGTCTGATGTTTGAGGGCCTCCGGTCAAAAATTCCACAAAAGTGATTGGAAAAATTCCAAATTTGTTTTTGAGTTGTCCCCGAAGCCATTCAGCGTTGCACTGTTCGAGGACTGCGATCGTATCTCCAGCATTGAACTGAAAAAAGGGAAAAATTATATTATCCATAAAAAATCTTGATAAAGAATGGTAAATTTTTGTTGTCCAAGCCTCAGAAAAAAAATTGAAAATACATTACTACTTCTATTCAGATCAAACTACATCGATTTACACTTCAAATAAAAAATTTTGAGATAAAATTATATTATCCATGACAAAGTTGAATAAAATTTTTTGAATTTTTATATAAAAATGACAAGGATAGAAGTTCTGCTCTAATTTAGGTAAAAATCTACTATTTCCGACAAAAGAAAATAAAAATTGAAGATAAATTTACATTATCCATGACAACTTTTGATGACAAATACCCAATTCTGATGCCTAAACGTCAAGAACACAAAAACAAAAGTGAAAACTCACATTTAGATCACCTTCTACATCGGAATGATAATCATAGAGGGCTCGGACGACTGCTTTATCTCCTGATGGTGATGTTGCAGTAGAAGATCCTCCATATCCAGAACTCGAATTACCGTAACCTGCGCTCGCACTGAACCCATTACTAGCCGGAGCCAACGGCACCATGATATCCAAGAAATTCAACGGGACAATTCCACTTTCTCCCGTTCTCGTATTCAGACCTTGAACCCATTGATCATCAACTGCATTTTTCAGTATGACCGTATCGTTGGGCTCGCATGAGAGTTCGTCAGAATGTGCGGCCTTATATGGGTATCGGACCACGGCATGAGGTTCGGTTGTTCGAGATCCATAGGACGGGTTGGATGATGAAAATGAAGGTGCACTAGTTGATCCCCAGCCCGAATTAAATTCCGTGGGTGTCGAATTCTGTGATGCTCGCGGTGGAGGAGGTCGCGCGGGCTCTAAAAAACTACCTATTGAATTGGGAATAAAAAAAGAAGATCAAATCGGAGCGCAACATGCAGAAACAACATATACACCATGACGAATCACAAAACAACACTCACTCTTAGACCCACCGTCAGAATTGGTGTTCCAGCCGTATGAAGGAGGTCGTGGATCCGAAGCAGAAGGCACTACGGGCGGATACTCAAAAGGGTCAATCGCCGTGAGCGTTTTGTAGGCCGGCTGGGGCTTCGGCGGAGGAGCGGGCTTGGACAACTGGGGGTTGTCTGAAAACGGACAATAATACGATGGAAAGCTTGATACATCTTCTTAAAGGTTGTTCATCTACTCCTTATCATCTTCTTCTCTAAAAATCAACAAGAAAGAAATCAAAATCTTACCAGCCGGCCTCCCCATAATCGGTTTATTTTCGAACTCATTCACCATGTTCAATATCGCACCGTGCGCTATTTTCTCGGCGAATGGATCCGCTTTCTTGCCCGTGGCCTGCTTGGCAGCTTGATTGATGGCCACAGAACGAACTTGATCATTTTTGGCCAAGGTAACCGCCGCTTTCTGGGCTAACGGATTATTCGCGAGTTTGGTCAGCCCGGATTTAACATTCTGCGAATTGAAGCTCTTATTCAGCGATTCGAACATGTTCTTCGCGTCCGCAAAGCCTAAAATGAGATGGATGAGCTGTACGAATTGGAAAACAAATAAAATCTGAGATTTAGGGCGTCTATAAACAATTATCCGATTGCTCATGGATAATATAATTTCCGAATGTCGTAAATTAATCTCGTTGAAGGAGGAAAACACTGAAAAGTCGCTATAAACGTGAATGTTCAATGAAAAATGTCTGGAAGAGAGGAAGAACAGCTACTGAAAAAAATCCGATAATTTTTTCGGGCATTTCGAGAAAATCCGTCGTCTTGACCTAATTCTGACGTTTTTTCGGGAAAGAAAACACTTTTTTTGTTCGCGTCCTCAAGAAGAAAGGAAGAGACAAGTGCTTGGATTTGGTAAGTACAAAATTATCTGGGATCTTTTTGACTTTTAGAGAAAACTTGTGAAACATTCTACTAGACAACTATACGGAAAAGTTGATGTTCCTGCCGAAAATTGAAACAAGACAGTTTCTTTGAGGTCTCAAGAGGCTCGCGAACACATGATTTCTCTATTAGCTATATATATTATGGCTTTACCTTTGACTTTGAAGTCGAACATTGCGGCCAGAACAACAATAACAAGGAGTTAATCTAATTCTCGCTAATTGGCGGCGGTCGCGCGCGAACAAGAGCAAACACTTACTACTCGAGCCGCTGGTCGTGGTGGACATTGTCGATGGCCGGGAGCGATAGGTGGGCAGACTGGAATTGGGTCCGTCGTTTCGGGGTTTGGCTGAAACTGGAGGTGGGGGGAGGTTGGAGTGGATGGAACCGGATGGGTACATGTTTATGGGAGAGAGCAAACACTCCTCTAAAAGGTCGAGTCTCGTGTGTTTTTGCGAACTGTTCGGTGGTCGGGAGATCAGGGCTACAGTGACGGGTCATGAGGTCAGATCTGGTCGGGATTTGGTCAGATCTTAGTGTAATATCCGATAAATTTTGCGGATTTTTTTTTAGTAATAGTTAGTAAGTTCCAGAAACAGCTCTGATTCTTCTTTGGACAGCCAATTTTGGCCTAAATTTACAAAAATTGCCTTATTTTAGACGATTTTCCAATCTCGCTAGCAAGTATAATATAAAATTTCGTCAGATTTCTGTAAATCCGACTACCTTAACCCAAAAACTGTCCTAGATGGGCCTTTGTCTCGCCTAAAACCACATCCAGATGACCTTAAACGGCTCGTTAACCCAGTTTTAAGCCGTTTAATCCTCTCCAATCCCCAAGATTTGAAGCTAAATTCACATGATGCGGGCTATTTCCCACAAGAAACATAAATTTCTACAAAGTGATTCATATTAAGGAGGGGCTCTTTTTATCACAGCTGACACCAAAAATACCCATTTGATAAGATAGTTTGCTAGGTCAATAGTAATATAAATTTTTGTTTTTTATTTGCTCTAAAAGTTTTACGACTCCCTCAAGACCTCTTGAATGTCACTGTAGTCCTAAAATCGACCAAATAGTTTGGAAATTACCTTGACAAAAGTCGGAGATAGGGTTGATAACAGATAAAAAAGGGTTTGGAGTCTGGTTTGAAAGGGCTTTTCCAGAAGCCCGGAGCGGAAAGTTGCTGGAACGGACGATGGAATCAGATCTTCTCTGCCTTTCCACCCACCGATTTTTCGTGTGTGTTTGCTCACAGATCAAACGTTGATAATGAAAAAAGAGAAAGAGAAAAACCCCCCTTCTTAAGGGTTGAAAAGTCAAATAGTTTTTTTATTCAGGTATTCTCTACAAACAAATGACAACAATTTTGTACAAATAGGTGGTTGCCGCCTAAAACTTCGTATTTCACTAGTTTCGAATGAGCATCATGCGTTGGCGAGGGCCCATTTGGGAGCGAACTCGGACCCAATCACTTCTCATTGCGCTTCGCGGACGACGTCCACGGCGCTTCATCCAGGCGGAAATGCAGGCGGGAGGTACTGAAAACGAAGTTTAGACGGTATGAGGATTATTCTATTTTTTTGAGAGGGTAGAAATAAAAGATTTTGCTAATTTTTGATATTATAGTAGAGGTATAAATAATAAAGCTCATTTTTGACCTTCGTGAAGGTATTTTTTGGCTAAAAAATGGTAGTAAGTGGAATTTTCGAGGCTCATAGATATTCCAATAAGATAGAAAAAAATGGAATGCAAAGTTATGCTGCTTTACGGATGGCTCAGTAAAATTCGCGACGATTATGCCTATGATAGTGATGATAGGATTGTGTTTCAGTCGGATAGGTCTATATTTTCATCATTTAATAGTATTACAGTAGGGGACCTGACCCAGTGGCAAAAAACATACCATTTTGCATCCGGGAAGCATCAAAAATGTGGCAAAATGATTCCCTCTCCAAGTGAGAAAACTCCGATTTCAAAGGCGTGCCCGCTCTTTTTGTGAGGGGCCCTTCAAAACGAAGTTTTTTCACTTGGAGAGGGAAGCATTTTGCCATATTTTTGATGCTTCCCGGATGCAAAATTGTAGGTTTTTTGCCAGTGGATCAGGTCCGCCACTGTAATACTATTAAATGATGAACTCATAAACCTCTCCGAATGCAAGACAATACTGTCATCACTATCATAGCCATAATCGTCGCGAATTTTACTGAGCCATCCGTAAAGGAAAACAAGATGCGTAAAGTCAAGTTTGAAAGCTTCGAATGAATTCACAGTTTTGGTAAAATACGTATAAAGCTTCCACAAGTCATTAATACTTACACTTGGAGCATTTTTGTTGTAAGTCATCATTCTCCATGCAAACCTCATTCTCCTTGCAAGTGACATCACACTTATAAATCACCGGACTCCAAACCGCATTTGCAAACAAACGCCCGCCTAAAGTACATAAAACTAGTAATGAAACTTACAAACTTTTCTATGTTTGATCAAAAACCGCAACAACATTAATTGCTCATCGCTGGCATGCCCTCTGGTCATTGGATTATTCAACATGGACCTCTCGGGCGCCGCTGCCATTGTTATTGCAATTTTTAGTAGGAGAAATACGAAAAGACCTTTCATTTTTTTACGAATAAAATGTTGGTATACTTTCACTTCTGACCTTCACGTAAATCTTCCATTTCCCCTCCCCAAAGACAATAAACAAAAAATCCGGGGAACAAAAAAAGTCGAAAAACGAATCATTAGCACACATTAAGGTTCGCGTTGTTGAACTGAATCGTCATAATCAATGTGTTCCAAAAAGGTTTCGCGTTTCGACATTACGCAAGGTTTTTCAAGGTGAAAACGTCTAGAAAATTGCGAAAAAAAAGAAACTTGGAGGAAAAAAAAGATTACTGTTACTAAACAACTCTAAGTAACGTCAATTACTACTCAACAATGAGAGTAAAAGTTCAAAAATAGTTTGAAAACAAATCGCAAAGAGGAGAAAAAAGTTTCTGATGAGAGTGGGATTCGAACCCACGCCTCCGAAGAGACTGGTGCCTTAAACCAGCGCCTTAGACCGCTCGGCCATCTCACCACGCTCTCGGTTCGGTTCCCTTCTCTTTCTATTTGATCCGAAACGGCTGCACGGTGCGTTTTTTGTTGTTAGTGATTGCTACTTTTTATGGGGGAAATATTTTTTTTGTGTTGCGAACTTTACATGTTTTTTGGTCGGTTATGATTTTATACTTTCGTTTTGGTTGTTTTTAGGGCTAGGAAAGTGTTGGAAAATGAAAAAAATTGCGTATTTTTTGGTGACTTTAAAAAAATTTTAATATTTTTTGTTGAGAAATTGTATGAAAAATAGATTTTTGAATATAGGAAAAATTTACTATCCATTTTTACGTTTTTGATTGCCAGAGTCGGTCGAAAAATGGGCGAAAAGGCCGAAAAAACAAAAACGAAAAACAAGGGTAATATAATTTTTTTAAAATTTCTACTAATTTTTTGTTCCCACTCAGATTTTGTTGATTGATAGACTTTGTAAACGCTTTCAGATGCCAAAACTCAGCTTTCAGTGGGTGTCCCAACCGACCAAGAATTGAACGCGCCAACCTTGCAAGACGACGCCGATGACCAGTTGCCTTCGGAGAGGACGGAAAACGAGTTGTCCGACATCAGCGAGGAGGGATATAAGCAGTTTCTTCGACAGGAGACAACCACCAAATTTGGGGCAGTTTTCTCTCCGGTCATTGTGAATCCGTACCTCCGGCGATTGGCTGTGCTCAACGCTCTGTCCTGGGCGATTACCATCGGTTTTTGCGGGTTTGTGCTGTTCCAGGTGATTTCGATTTGGTATGGACATGCAGCTGTAAGTGGATTTGTTTTTGGGTTTTCGGAGAAAATTTGATAGCTAGTGTAAAAAAATTTGGTTTTCGATAGTCTTTGGTGGTTCTGAAGAAGGATTAGGGCGGCTAATTGTTCATTTTAAGGCCAATGGAACCAGATGGGACTTGTTTTTAGACAATTTTTAGAGAAAGGTGTCAAATTTTATCATGGATAATATAATTATTGTTAGAAAAGCGTTAGAAAAAACGATATTGTTATTGTAGGGCTTATACAACTTCATATTTTAGGGTTTAGAGGTGCTTCTGGACCTTTTGGCAACTTGCAACGGAATGCCAAAAATGGCGGGAACTTTTGATTTTTGAAGCCAAATCGCTTCTAAACTTCTGAAAATAGTTTGAATGAGTGTAAATTAATTTTGAGTAATCTATAAATTAAATTAATTTCATTATTTTTATATTTAAAACACCTTATTTTAGGTCCACCATCACAACGAATTGGACCTTCCTTGCATGTTCGATTGGCTGGAATGGGGCCCTTGTTCTGCCTCCTGCCGAAATGGCCCTCAATTTCCAGTTCAAACACGCCATGTGGATTCGAAAACTATAGTCCGTGCTCGAGGAATGTACGTCGAAACCGCGCCTTGTCCGAAAAACCTCGAAACTATGTCGGATAACCGATCTTGCAATGTCCATCAATGCCCAAAGTTATTGTCGACTATCCAGTTCAGAAATGATTGCGTCCAATTTGACGGGCATTCCGTGCAAGTTCGGGATTTGACCATTGATGACATGGAAACGGTAGAAATGTCGATTTATTATTATTTAATTTTAATTTTAAGGTAACAATTGACACGCCTGACCTCTACAGACCATGTAATAGTTCGTGAAAGCAAAGAATGATTAACGATTTGTCTTCTGTGGTTTTTATTGATTTGTTTTTAATTGATCCTTATGTATTTACCGACTTATAAATGTAAACAATCATCAAATGTGTTCTCAGAATTGCGTAGGCTTGCAGGAGAGAAAGGAAGTTTCCAATTCTAAAAAGAACGTCAAAGCAGTGGGCTGTAGTGTGATTTACTCATTGCTTTATGGTTGCTGTCTCAAGGATGTGGTCAAAGAGCGGCGTTAAGGCCCAACGTTAACATAAACATTGGGCCTACAGTGGCGGACCTGATCCAGTGGCAACAACCGTACCATTTTGCATCCGGGAAGTATCAAAAATGTGGCAAAATACCTCCCCCTCCAAGTGAAAAAAACCCCGACTTCAAAAGCGCGCCGCACGTCAAACTGAGGAGTCCGGAAACTGGAATAGACTCTTCGCTATCGGTTTTTAACACTTCGTCTTTATTTCGCAGAGAAGACAGAGAAAAGACACGCAAAAACGTACTCTCTCGCTCCAAAAATTCCCCATTTCTTCCCCGACAAAACGTTGTTTCATGTCTTTTTTTGGTAAATTACCAATCCATTCACCGGGTCGTTTTAGCTTATCCCAGTTTGACGCGCGCCGGCTCTTTTTGTGGAGAAAGGGCCCCCTTCGGAGTTTTTTTAGTTGGGAAGGGAGGCATTTTGCCACATTTTTGATACTACCCGGGTGCAAAATGATAGGCTTTTTGCCACTTGATCTGATTCGTCACTGTACACCGCATATGCATTTCTGAAAAGCTCAGCTCGAGCGTTGCACCCACAGCCGAGAAAATCAACAAAATAAAACACCATCTCTAATTGCTCTCTAGAGGCTTCGAACTTCATTAAAAATTGCAAATTTTGCAAGCCTTTTTGCCTGTTCCCATAATTACAGTCTTAACAATGACTTTTAACAAGCCGATTGCATCGAACTGCCATCCTTTCCCATCCCATCCAAATTTCATATCCATAAAAAACATGAAAATACCAAAGATGAAATAAATTTACGATTCTCATTATCACACGAATACTTTTTTTTGAATTTTAATCGAAAAAAGGGCGAATTCACTGAATTTGATTCGTTATTATTTTTTCTCCGCCTTGGTTTACTACAAAATAAACAGAGATTCATTGCCGGAGAGTGTTTAAAAACAGGCCTTTGGTTCGGTTTACTTGAGTCATTCTCCCCAAAAACGTGAAAACGATGAAACTTCTAATTCTTGGCGTTCTCCTAGTGAATGTGGCGCTTATTATGGTAAGTTTTTCGGAGGGTTACTGTAATTTTTGGTTAGAAATATTTAAATTTTGTATGCGAATAGGGCATATGCCGCTTTTGAGTTCCTAAACGGAGATAATTTTTCGGCAGAGAGAAACTTGACACACCAGGGAAAGACTTGGCACCAACCTGCAGCACGGGCCGAAATATTCAGCGATTTTTTTTTCTGAGAGATGCGGGAAAAGCGAATAGAGGACAGAGAGAAAAACGCTTTTTTTAATGCTTATGCCAATTTCGCACGGGAAAAAATTGATTTTTTGAAAGATTGCACTTTAGAAGTTTGCCAAATAACTTTGATCTATGATTCCTACAATCTATTTATATTTAACTTCAGGCAGACAAAGAAGAAGACAAGGTCCCATCTTTAATCGAAAGCATCAAGGGCAGCTTCAAGCAAATGTCTAAGAGCTAGTAAGTCGAGAATGTTTCCTAAGTTCAACTTACACTGGCGGACCGGGCCTGACTTTCAAAAAATTCAAAACTGTCTGGGCTGGGCCGCGAAAATTGACCCAACCCGGCCCTACAATGAAAAATACCGCCAAAAATATTGTTAGATATTTTGATTGGGCTTGTGAGCTGAAAATTATTTTTTCAGCGACAAGTGTGAATGGAAAATTGAAGGTGGTGAGGCGGGCTTGGAGAAGTTCTACAAACAAGCCTTCGAGGAATACCGAGCCAATAAAGAAGGCTCAAAGACCGTCTTCAGCTGCACCCTTGTTAAAGATGGGCGCTTCAACGGAGATTACCTTCAGATCGAATGGGGACCGAAAAAACCGCCAACCAGTATCTCTATTGTCGGATAATTGTCACACTTTTCAAAACACCTTTATTTTAATTCGATTTCTGAAAGGCCCAATAAATATGACGAATCAGCTAAAACAATATCGGATTGTCAGGATTTCAGAGAATGATTGGTATGACAGCTATCAGATTCTTCGCCTTTTCAATGTTTTAAGTATTTATTTTTGTTGGGAAGAGACTTTGAGTTAATCCGAGTCAAGAGAAATGACCAGTCATTCATTTTCTTCGAGTTTTTTAAGCCATGAACGGAAGTGCTTACATTTGGGAGAAAAATGTGAGAGATTTAGAACTGAGGAGGTTAGGGAGATGTTAAGAAAGTTTAAAGTTTCTCATCACTTGAGTGATGATACTGGCGTTGTTTTATGAAAATATGGAGGGAGAAATTGGAGGTGGGGAGCAGACAAAGAAAGTTTTTAGAGTGGGCAGACAGACTTGAATAAAGGTTGAAATTTTTAAATTAAAGGCCACTTTTTTCTAAAAAATGTGAGAGATTCCTAGGGCGCGCCCTACAAACCGGAGTGTTTTTACAGTGAGGGACCTGATCCAGTAACAAAAAACGTACCATGTTGCATCCGGGAAGGATAAAAAATGTGGCAAAATGCTTCCCTCTCCAAGTGAAAAAAAACTTCGTTTTGAAGGGCGCGCCCTTTTTCTCACAATAAGAGCGGGCGGGCTTTTGAAATCGGAGTTTTTGCACTTGGAGATGGAAGCATTTTGCCACATTTTTGATACTTCCCGGATGCCAAATGGAATGTTTTTTGTCACTGGATCAGGTCCCCCACTGTATTTGGACAGGGAGACATTTTGCTACATTTTTAATACTTCCCGGATGCAAAATTCTACATTTTTTGTCACTGGATCGAACCGTCTGCAAGCGAAAATTAAAGCCATTTTACAATTAAAAAAATCAAATTTTTTACTGACGTTTCTGAAAAACGCAAGCTAAAAATCCTGCATGGCATAGCAAAAATTAGTTTAAGATTTCTCCAGTTATTTTTCTGAAGTTTGACCGAAATCAGAGGGTCTGCCATATCTCTTCGTCTTGTTAATTTCCATTATGCCGCCAAGGAAAAAATGAGAGCTCGAATTGCGATTTGACAGCTTGTTTTAAAGCTCGCCTTGAGATCTTTGGGGATATGGCCGACGGGCGAAAATGGACGGTGCCGAATTTCAATCGCAAACAAATGAATCGGAGGCCCAGTAATTTGAACTTTTTGACACTTGGCTTACCCAAGAGTAATAGTTTTTTTTCCCTTGAGATTTTACTTTTTTTATGTTTTGATGACCGTGTTTTCCTTGCGGGCATATGTCAACATTCATTGAATTTTTTCCCTCCGATCTCTGGCCTGTTTTTGATGCCTCAAGGCAAATCGTTAGTTCGTAATCAATTTCTTTGCGGCCATCTGGCTTGTATAAAGTTTTGATTAGAAGGAATTTTATGTCTTGTGGGTAATGGTTCTACAGTGATTTTGAGGACATAATGGAGCGAAATTTAAAACTTTTTTGTTTTGAAAATACGTCTGAAAGCTTTAATATGTATAAATTTTATACTGTCTGTTATGAATTTCAAAAAAGATAAAAATTTTTTTTCATAAACAGTAGTTAAAAATCGACCGTTTTTTGAACTCAACCATTTTTTTCAATAAATCTACGGCCCTGAGTATAAAAGCAACAACATTTTCTTAAACTCCGTTCAAAATTAGCCTCCTTTTTACAGTATTTCCCTCTCATTCCCTCTCAAATATTTTTTCCGCTATTTCCTGACAAGAAATGGGTGTTCGGGAACCTTTTCGTTGACTTGACGCTCTTTGATGACCTTTTGACGTGTTCCCGGATCAAAGAGATTTCCCGGAATTTTGGATCAAGTTATATTTTGTAGTTCTGAACTCGGTTTGCTTCCAAAGTCCACGGGGATAAGTCTTGCCGCTGTTTTAGAGAAGGCTCGAAGTTTTGCGGTAAATAGAGGATGATGGATGGACGGGAGATTTTTGATTTGTTTTGGTACATTCAGAAATTTTGAGGGCCGTTATGACTTTGCTAAAAGAGCACATCCTCAAAATTTGAGGCTTAGAGAAAACATTTTGTTTTGAATTTTTCATATAAATCTCTGAATGCGAGATCTTTAGCCTTGCAAAAACCGAGTTTTACAAAGTCCCAAACTTTGTCAAAATTTGTCAACAAGATCCCATGTGATCAAAGATCGCCTCAAAATACGTTTAATCTTCGTTTACATTTTCCGAATTCTTTCCTGAACGTTTTTTTGACCTCCACCCACCCTTGTGACCCTTCAAACTCCCTTCGGTTTAATTGGATCCCCATTGCCAAACCGGCGAACAAAGCGAATCTCCAGCCCACATCTATCATTGTTAATGTGATTTCAGCCGGGCCGAAACCTCCGATATTAATAAAATTTCGAATTGAAACGAATTTACAGCCTTCCAAACCTTTTTTGCCCAACTTTGCTTGGGCCATTTACGGAGATTTTCAATTAAATTTTCAAATTTTATCTTGCAATTGTTAAAAATGGATTTTTTACTTTCTTTTTCTATTGGGGAGATTCATGGGGGTAAAAAATGTTTGTTTCCAAGAGGAATACGACTGATATCTTATGTATTACTTTAGTATTGGAAAGATATAAAAAAATGTAACATTCAGACGGGCGGAGATCTGTGCTTTTTGTCTGCCTTTGGAATGTTTAACTTAGATTTGAATGGGCATCGGAAACATCCCGTAAAAGGGAGGTTATTGGTGTTGGCTGGGTCCGAGAGGCTAACTAGGAATTGTGTTAATTGTAAGGTTTGTATATGGTGTGTAACTTATGTAATAGCCCAAAAATCTTGAATTTGAGTGAGCCTGGCGTTGATAAAAACCTCTTTATTTTTGCTTATTTTTATAAAACTAAATAAAAATTCAAAAAATTTTATTGGTAAAATTAGTTTTTTTTTATTTTTTTTTGTGAGAAAATAGTAAATTGAGATTATTAGTTTTGGGTCTGGCGTTCTACACTATGGTTTTTTTACAATTTTTTACAATATTCTGTTGAAAAAATGACGTCTAAAACCATGACGTAAAATTACCAGACAGAGCCGATCGTGGGTCTCTTGGGGATGGACCGAGCCGACGAAATTTAGGATAGGACCTGGGCCATTTTTTAGGTAGTTGTGTGTAGTTTTGATATATGATTTATTCCCCGCCCCCTTGGCAATCTTTGTTGTCATAATTTTTTTGTATTATCAATCCATTACGTCGTTTCTTTTTCGCATGGAAAACGTGATTTCTTTAATTTGAAAATGCAACGTTAGACCCTGTCTGATACCTGCAAGCACCTGTGTAACACAATATTCTTAATTCTAGTCAAATTTGATAATTTATCAGCAATGTACAGTACGGATAATAAGTGTTTCAAAAATTTATCCTCAGGGCTAAAAAATCTTTGAAAATTTAATTTTTGAAATTTCAAAAAATGCGGATTTTAATTTTTTTTTATTTTTGAATTCTCTCTTTTCCATGACGTCATGTGCACTTAAATTTACTTACATATTATTTGGCTATTGGTTTACCTTTTTTCTTTTTTTTTCTCTTCCGCTCTTCCAATCGGCGCATTTCCGTTTTCTCTCATGTATTTACGTGGAAATGGGGTTCGAACATGGCAATATAAAAATCAATGGAATTTGGACCTTTGGTCCCGAAAAATCCTAAAATTTTTCCGATATGGGTGACGTTTTTTTGAGATTTAGAAACTTTAAAATTTCGGAGCTATTTTATCATCATATTTTTTTGTAAAATACGGAGTTCCAATTTCAACATCTTGATTAATTTTAGCGACATTTCTGCTTCAATTCACCTTCCTTGCACACTACTACACTACAAGATATGTACTGGAATACTGATTACATTTGCCAAGTTGGATAATTTGCAGACTGCCAAAGAGCCTCTAATTTGATAAGTAAGACTTTTTCAGTTTTTTGCAAGTTTTTCAAAATAAAAAAAATTAAAAATTGAACGCTTAAAATCTTTCAAAAATACAAAAAATTTGTTTTTTTTAAATCAAATTCAAAATTTTTTGAGTAATCAAAAATTTTTAAGACAAATTTTTTTTTTATTTTTTCTGCATCTAAACGATTGAAAGTTATCAAAAAATACAAAAAAACTTATTTTTGGACCAAAAACTTTTTATACAATTCTTTTATTTACTCACAATCAGTTTCGTTATACCCTTTTCCTGACTTTCTCCCCTCTCGGATAACATATCCCATTCAAAAATTGCAAAAAATAAAAATTATACAAGTCAAAGACCGATTTCTCAAATTTTCCCCTCCGGCTAAATTTCCTCGTGCCTTCCTCCGCAAGACTTATGCAAATTGCGTCAACGCCCGATACAATTTCAAGACGGCACAGTGCGAACGTTTAAAGATTCATAAAGTCGCAGCAGGCGCCCTTAGGCAAATATTGGGTGCGGGTAGTACTGGGGGAGAAAAGGTATTCAAATATTCGAAAAAATTGTGTTTGCCAAAATTCCGGTCTTCCAAGGATCATGGAGAATTCCAGAATTAGTCCGCTGAAGCCAGTGCTGGCTGCGACTTGCCGAGGCTGGTTTAGTCGGAGGCTGGCGAGATCGGTGAGTTAACTGAATTTTTTTTGGTGATTTTTGAAGCATAAATATTGTTAACGTAAGGTACGAAGATGTTCCGAAGCGGCTAGCGTCTGTAAAGAAACGCTTTCGCTTCTTTTGTTAATCAGAGCTCTGTTGAGGAATAACCCGCTTTCAAAGAATTTTATACAACTTTTTTTGTGTCACAGAGCGGTTATTGATATGCTCAATAATATTACTTGATGTGTACATTCTCTAGAAATATTTTGCACAAAGTTTTGACGCTACATCTGTAATTAATGGCCTCGTTTTCTAAATGGTCTAAAATGAGAGTAAGATTTTTCATTTTCAACGTTATCGGTAGCGGATTAAAAATTGAAAAATAATGCCTTCAACTTTTGCACAGAAAGCTCCTGTACAACAAAACCTGCCTATAACGAAAACTTTTTGAGGTTCCAAGGATAAATTTTATGCCAAAATGAACCGTTGAACAGCAAAACCCCTCCATAACAAATAATTTTTTTGGTGTATTGCGATTTGTTGAACTTAATGTATTCTGAACCACTTGCGAAGAAACCAAGTAAAAATTTATTTTCCACGCATACTTTGTTTTTACATTCTCGATATAGAAACGCAGAATGTTAAAGTGAAATTCATACTCTCTACAGGACAAAGAACTGCCGGGTACGCAACTCCCACATAAAAAATACATTATCGTGGGGGGGATGGGTACGAGTGTGAGTCAGAAATTCAGCCTACAGAATAAAGAGTAGATGGTAAAATATAAAATGATAAAACTTTGTTTTGGTAATCACAAATTTTGGTATAGTAAAAATAGTTTGGTTTTGGTTAAAAGATTTTCGTGTAAAATACGTAGAAACAATTGTAACTTAAAAAAATGCCAAGGTAAAAAATACTCCAGAAATTTCAAAAATATAAAAAATCTAAAAAAAATATTTTTTTCCGTTCAAAATAACCGCCAAATTGCAGTTAAAGATGCCCCGCCGTCGGCGCTCGAGTATGGTCTCGCATTCGCCGAGTTGCAGCCTCTCCGAAGACGAAAGCCAGACCATTTTCCGGAAGGGACGGCCATTGATCGCGATAAACGGCTCGCCCCTCCCGCAAACCGTGCTGTTGGCCGAGAAATCGGGGGATGCGCCGCAAGTGCAGATGATCCGGAACGGGCACACGGCCGCCCTTCTTCAGCATTCCCCTCCAAATCATTCCGCGATGAGCTTGAAACGGCGAAATTGCAATCGATGCAATTGTCAGGCGGAGCTGATTCTGGACGACAATCGACCGCTGGTCGACCGATTCGCCGATGACACTTCGATGCTGGGATTTCGCTATCTGCATTCCAGATACAAGACTTGGTTTAGGTGGGTTATCGATAAAAAAATAATTTTTTTTTGCCAATTTTGTCTAAAAATGCAATAAAAATCAATTTTATTCAGGATATTATGGTCGATTTTATTGATTTTCTTCTTTGCCCTCACAATATATCAGGTCGCCGAACGGTGCTCGTATTATTTCATTATCAATCCACTTATCACTACCAGATTCTACAACACTCCAGCTGAAGTCGAATTCCCAAAAATTGTGATTTGCAATAAAATGCAGATAAAGTAAGTTGAGATGGCAGAAGCAACAAGTAGGCACGCGTGGAGGGTAAAAGTTTCTATAAAAAATCAAGTTTTTCTTTGCAAAGTTTGCATCAATGTGTCAAAGAAAAGTTTTCTTTGTCCGGTCTCCACATTTTCCATACTCTTTCGCTCACAAACATTTTTGAATTTCTTGGCTTTCTTTGCAAAGTGCAAGCTCAAATTTTGAGGAATTGATACGTTTTCGAGGTCCGACTTCTATGTAAATTTTGAGGAAAATCTAAGCGTCGCAGTTCGAACGCTTTACTTATTAGCTATCTCTTGAAACCCTGTGGATTTTAGGTTTTATTCATTCATTTTTTGAATTTTTTCACTTTTCAATTGCGTATTAAAACGACATCCTTTCTTTACGCGTATTTTACAACCTCTCCTCAAAAAGATTATGTTTTACCCAAAGAAAAATTCGAAAACATACAAAAAGACGTTCTTATTTTAACCTTTGCTTCCTTATTGCCTCGTAAACATCGTTTGCTCTCGAATTAAAACTATTTAGAGCTTAAAAGCGTCATCAAAACAAATTCTCAGCATTTTTGAATTTCCCTGATAAAGTTTGGACAAAATGATAAGTTCAAAAATAATGTCGTATTTTACCCTCATCCAATTTTTTCAGAGCCTCAAAAGTCGCCGAAGTGAATCCCCGTCTTCTTAGCGCTCTCTCCGAAAGTTTCGACGATGAGCAGCGCTACACAACCAACGACACGATCCGTCATATGCTAACCGACTTCAACGCCATTAATTCCTTTGAATTTTTCGTCAATACAAAACAAAATGTGGAAGATTTATTTGTCGGGTGTCAATTTGGAAAGGGAAAAAATTGCGTCGACAATGTGAAGCCGATTCTGACGCCGAATGGGCTTTGTTTTCTGGTGGATATGGACACGACGGTGCGAAGGCCGGGTCCAGAGAGCACTCTGCAATTGTTGCTCAATTTGGAGATCTACGAGAGTGTGCCGGGCTGGGTTACAGAGCCGGGAGTGGTGTTGTCCATGTTCGATGCGAATATCCCGTTCGTTAACCATTTTCAGGAGGGAATGCATTTGGAACCGGGGAAGGCGGTGACCATCCCAATCAATGACATTCGAAGGGTAAGGGGGGTTAAGAAATACAGTGGGGGCCTGATCCAGTAACAAAAAATGTACCATTTTGCATCCGGGAAGCGCATCAAAAATGTGGCAAAATGCTTCCCTCTCCAAGTCAAAAAACTTCGTTTTGAAGGAGTTTTTTCCTCACAAAAAGAGCGGGCGCGCTTTTGAAATCCGAGTTCTTTCACTTGGGAAGGGAGATATTTTGCCACATTTTTTGATGCTTCCTGGATGCAAAATGGTACGTTTTTTGCCATTGAAAATCATTTCGCAGTTGTACTCATCGTATTTTAAAAAGGAAACTTCTTTTTCCGCTCAAAACTCGCAAAAAATTTTAGCTTCTTTCTCTGTATTTTTCACTCTTTTTCATCAGAAAAGATCGTTGGATATCTCGGCTGCCTTTACAAATTGCAAGCTAAGATTTTTAATAAATTATTTGTGGCCGAAATGGTTTAAACAGACAAAATCTGATAAAGATCTAAGCGATAAATTTTTAGTTGTTTCTCATTTTAACTCTATTGTTCCCAAAAACATACAATTTCCCAACTCTTGACTGAACTCCCAGCCATTTATTTCAGCTCCAACGCCACTCATCCCAATGCGGTTCCGACGCCAAACTTCAGGACATCTTCGCTCCCAAGGACTACTCCAAAAGCGCTTGTCAATGGTTGGCCAAGATCAAGGACGTGCGGGATCGCTGCAAATGCGAGCCCATTCTATCGCCGAGGAATCGTGACATGTTCCAGAATACCACAGGCAACAAGAAAATTTCGGATTCAGAAGAGCCGAAGAGGGTGGCGAATGGGAGAAAAGGGCATACAGAATACCCCATTTGCACTATCGCTGAAGAAGTTTTTTGCGTTCAAAATGTGCTGGTAAGGGATTTGGAATAGTTTGGTCGATGTTTAAGGCGCCACTCAAGCTATGGAGAGTCTTGTCGCAAAATTAAATTTGAATTTTCCAAGGCCTATGCGATATTTTTAACGTCAGAGGACACGCTGACATTATATACGAAAATTTACAAAGTCATCGCCTTGCGCCTTATGCATTTTTACTCACAAAGGAAGTACCCCAAATGTGACGCTCAGATTTTTTTTTTTTGCACACACGTCGGTCATGAACCAAGGATCAATTCCTGAAAGTTTTAGCTCGCGCTTTGCGGGCGCCGCCGAGATATCGAACGATTTTTGCCGCCGAGAGAGCACGCTAAACGCGGAGGGCGGTCAGAGAGAAAAACACTTTTTGTCCATAACTTTACTAGTTTCGTGCGTTAAAAATTGATTTTTTGTGGCAACATTACCCTCTACGGTAGAAATAGGCATGACACTTTTCGTGCCAAAATTCGGCAAAAAGTGTCAAATTTTCGTCAACTTTCGATCTAAAAATATCGGTTTTCCTGCAAAGCGCGAGCTAGGATTTTCGCATATATTTTCGAAAAAATTATTCTAAACTTGTGCCAAGTTTCATCAAAATCTGAGCGTCGCACTTGGAGTACTTTCCCTGTCAGTTGAGAGCTATTGTCATCAAAATTTATATTTTTAACGCCTATTTTATTTATCTTCAGGAAGAACCATTGAGCCCAAAAACCCAAAAATTCTTATTGAGCTGCATCAACGACTGTGACGAAGTTTCATTTACGACAATCGTCTTTGGAAACGATCTACATTCCTCGGACATTTCGCATTACTTGCCCGGGGATTGGGAGGACGAAAAGGAGAAAAGATTGGCCCATTTTCAAGTAGGCTTAATATGAAATAAAAATAACCAAAAAAAACTTCAGTTAGCCCTTGAGAACCTTCCAAAAAACCGAATCTCCCTTGTCCGCCATATCCAAGAGATCGCGGACGACGCAAAACATTTCCTCAACGAATCGATGAGAATATTCGGGATTAAAAAAGAGTCCGGCGATGAGGTTTTTCCATGCTTCAAGACCGACGGAGGTCTTTATAACGACGGAGTTTACGCATTTCATCGACAGGAAACTTTGTGGAATGGATTGAATGAGTAAGTTGGAGAGAGTACACAAAAGTTGGAGAGCGGGCAGAGCGAAAAAAGTTTTTTGGCGATATTTCTGCCAATTTTGCTTCAAACCAAAAATTTAAGATATGATTTTTAATGAAATAATATAAATTTTTACTGAATTTCATGAAAATATGAGTGTTTCATTTCGAAAATTTCCTTGTAGAAAATTTGAAAATTATCTCACTTCTTTTCTGCTCGTATTTTACAATTTTTTCTCTTTTCCAGATTCCTGGAAACCGAATTCCCCAAGCATTTCGGGAAAGTCCTCAAACTCTTCAACCTCGAAATCGACCAACATCTCCGTCTCCGCGATGACTATGACTCCTCCGAGAAGTCCGAAGAAACATATCTCACCATGTCCACCGAGTCTTTGTACGATCTACGGGTATTTGAGAACCAGGTGACTGCCCGAGGCGCAATTTCGGGGCTGGATTCGATACAACCGACCGAGCGGTTGGCTGTCAATCGACATTTATTGGGATTCTTGCGTAAATTGCAAGAGTGCGTGATCAAAATTCAATTTAATCCGCCGGAACAAGCGAGGAATCTGACAAAACCTTGTCGGAAAGTGAGTTGATGATTGTTTTGGGAAATGTAAAATACGGGGTAGTTAAGTGAGGCAAAACAATTTTAATTTAAATCATCAAAATCATCAAAATAAAAGAAAAAACTAACAGGGGAAGTACTCCAAGTGCGACGCTCAGATTTACTTTAAAATTTGCACACACGTCGGGTATGGACTAAATCTCAGTTCCTGAAAGTTTTAGCTCGCGCTTTGCGGGCGCCGCCGAGATATCAAACGATTTTTGCCGCCGAGAGAGCACGCTAAACGTGGAGAACCGTCAGAGAGAAAAACGCTTTTTGGCCATAACTTTGGCAGTTTCGTGCGGAAAAATTTGATTTTTTGTAGAAACATGATCCTTTACGATTGAAATAGGCACGAAACTTTTCGTGCCGAAATTCGACAAAAAGTTCTAAATTTTCGCCGACTTTCGATTTAAAAATCTCGGTTGTTTCTGCAAAGCGCGAGCTAGGATCCTCGCATATAGCTTAGAAAAAATCGTTCTAAATTTGTGCCAAATTTCATCAAAATCTGAGCGTCGCACTTGGAGTACTGTAAGTTTCAAGAATTCAAAAAAATCCGGAGATTTTTAGATTGCACTTTACAGAAATATGTTATTTTTAAAATAGTTTTTGGTAAGAATACTCCAAAAAAATTCGACAAAAAGCTTTGTGTTAGGCAGATTTTTTGGACATAATCAAAAAAAAATTAAATAAAAAAAAACTTTTTTGTAAAATACGATACACGACATTTCAACTTTCAGATGATGATGTCATATCACACAGTCCTCTACAACGCTCGGACTGTCTCCAAAACAGTGTCCAGCGAAGCCCTAAAGGACTTTGACACGGGTATAAAAGGGCTGACCGCTGTTCTGCGGAAGTTGAAATACGATATTGCGGGGAGTATTTTTACCATAAATAACTACAACGTAGATTTGAGAACGTTCCGGAGATTGTATAAGTAAGTGAATTTTGAATTTTTAGAACTTTAAATTTAGGGGTTTTACAGTGCAAAATAGTCTTTTTTGATGATTACTGAAGGTAAAAAATGACCACACAGTGCGATAGGAGTTGTCAAAATTTCTTGCATTGTGTATAAAAATTATGAATTTCTATTTTTTTGTATTCCAAAATTTTAATTTTTTGAAAATCTATTGCACTGTGCAGTTCGAAATAAAAAATTTTTGCACAGTGCAGAAATTTCAACAGAAAGAAGATTGCACAGTGCGCGCTGTCGCCAAGAATAAAATTGTTTTTGCACTGTGCATCTTTTCGCCGGAACCTCGATTGCACAGTGCAATGATGTTTTCAATTCGCACCGTGCAAAAAAATGAAGACTTTTTTCGCACAGTGCAGATTTTTAAAATTCATTTTTTCAGACCTACTCATTGAAAAATTGTAAAATACGCATTAGCTTCTTTCTTTTTTCAGAGAAGGGGGCAAAGGGAACGAGCTGTTGGTGGAATTGCTTCGATTCCGAAAGTTTATTCAATCCGGCGCTGTGGACGAGATCAAAAAGTTCGTTGAGTCCGTTGAAGAGGCCGTTGAAGCAAGGGATTCTGTGCTGAAGGAGTTGGATATGACACCGAAAAATGCTTCAGTTCAACCGATGAAATTTGCGCAAGAAACCGCCAAATGTATGGCAAAAATGGTGGAGGAAATTGAAGTGATTAGGGTAAGTTGGCAAAAACTTTATTTTGAAGAAGAATTTATTTGAATATAGTGTTTATAACTCAATAATTTGCTGTCTTTTATATACATCTCAAAGCCTTTCGTATCTTCAGAAAAGTCCAATGATCCGCGCCGAGCTAATGTCCCGCATAATTCACGCGGTTACCGTAGCCCAGTCCTACTCACCTGGCCCCGAATATGATCGGTATGATATATTACATATATTAATCCATTTCCATACATTTAAGCTTATTATTTAACAAAAATTTTTAAAGTTTAATTTCTCTAATTGCCCTATTTTCAGAGTGAATCTCCTCTTTTTGAAGATTTATTTCGCCCATTTCAAAGAGGAGATGATTACACAAGAGCGTTCGTATAACGTATTCTTATTGCTGGCCGAGATCGGAGGTACCATCGGATTGTATGTGGGCGCGGCCTTACTGAGTGTCGCCGAGACCGTCGTCTTCTTCTTTGAGAAGCACACACTCAAACAACCAATGACCAAACGACCGCCGGCATGATGAAATTTGAGAGGAATTTTGAGGAGTGTATGGAGCAAAAATAGTTTTTTAGGGATGTAAATACATATTTTAGAAGTTTAAAGTTTAATTTCGCACTGTGCATTGATCATTGCCATAGAAAATATGTTAGGAAGTGTGGGAAGGCCAGATGATGAAGAAACTTAGCTGGTCCCGATAAAGTTATAATTTTAAGACACTACTAGTCTCTCCAGAAAGTGCGTAGATTTTTTGCCGTACGCCGCACCGTGCACAAAACCCCTTTTTGCGGCGTGAATTTGACCTTCCGCACCGTGCAAGTGCAATATCGCAGCGACACAAGTTTTTCTCAACAGAGTGGGCGCGAATTTTGGGCGCGCGGAAAGAAATTGCACAGTGCAAAATGTTTCCAAAAGGATCGCATCGCGCAACATGCACAATGCGGAGCAAAAAATCGCTGGACTGATTTTTGGCGTTTGCACCCTGCGAAAAAAGTCAGGGCGAGCGACAGCCGAAAAAAGCCTATTGCACGGTGCGAAAAGCAAAAAAACTTTTGTTTTCACAGTGCGTGTCGCCGATTTCAGGTTTTGAGAGAGAACGCAAAACTTGGAGAGTCGGTCCGAAAAATCTTTTTGACAAGAAATTTTTCGCCTAGCAAAAAAATTTTTTTGTTGGTCGAAAAAATTTTTGTTGGTTGAAAAAAAATTTGCCGAAACACTCAGCTGATAAACATTGGGATCCGGTTTAGGTCATTTCCGCCGGTCTGAAGACGTTTGTTTATTCTCCAACGTTGAAACTTCTACAAATACTATAAAAATACCGCCGTTTCGACGTAGGTCCGGTGTATCTTTAAAACACCCTCAGGCAAAAAGGCAAACAAAGCAAAAAAGAAAAGTTTTTCGCCGGTTTCAAAGGCAATGCACAGTGCGGAGATATTTTTTGTTCGTTTTTTTTTAAATACGATGAGATATTGTGTTACACATAATGGTGATACGAAAATACCGGTGACTAATTTCTAATTTTTACTTTATCATTTTTTATATTTAATTTTTTGCAATTGCAATAAATTTGATTACATTTATTTTAATTTTTACAATGTTTGAAATTCAATATAATTTTTGTCGCACATTGAAAGTTGGCCTTATGTAAATACAAAATGGCCAAGTTCTTATATTCGGAGAATCTAATTAAAGTAAGTAAATGGCAGTAAAACTATTTTTGTCATCGGGGTATTTTTGTTCTTTGCCCTAATAAGGGTAATATTCAAATTAAGAGCAAGTTAAATTACGGGGTCTTACAAAAAACGTGAAGGAAAGTGGAAGGCTATAACTTCCGGCGGAGGCGGCGCAGAGACTTCGTATTTGAAATATGTATTTTTAAAAGACATAAGTTTTTGTCTACGAAATAACAAGCTCTTAAAATTCAAACTGAGGTCGCTACGACCTTCTGAAGTAGAGGAATTTCTACCCCGAAAACCAGGTTTTTTCGGTTGAAAATGATCGAGAAATTTCAGTCTTTTTCGGTTGAAAATCATCAGGAAATGTCGGATTTTTTGGGGGGTTTCGATATTACTATGGAGAGAAAACAAGTAATACATAGCAGTCAGGCCCATATTTTGGATTGAAGGAGGGCATAGTGTATTAGTCGTAAATTGAATTTATCCAACGTTTTCAAAATTAAATGAGTTTCAAGACCTTCTGAAGCTATCATATTATAGGTGCTAGAAGTGTGGCTTTCTATTATAATTTTCCTTATGTTTTTACATACACATTGTGCCAAATATGCCCACATTTATCTCTCAAAATTTCAGCTAACGCCTTGCATGAGCAGCCGAGATTTTCAAATTTTTTTCTACTGATGAGAGAGTGTTAAAAATGAGAGGATCGGTTGGACAAAAGTCCCGCTTTTTGGCAATGTATTTCTCGATTATTCTGGAAGAAATAGATTTTTTATGTGGGTGTTGTTTACCACGTCAACGCGCTCTGAAGCAAGTGGTTGATCTTGTTAGCTTCATTTTCAATATGGTAATCCAATTTTCAATTTTCCGGTACTTGAAGCGCATGTAACAAGGATGTTTTCGGATGCTCATGGTCTTTAGCCCACAAACAAAATTTTTAATTTGAAAAAAGCTATTTGCCATACATATGCCATTTCAGCGTTCTCTGAAATTTGTTCTTACTGCTAGGGTTTTCGTTATGTCTTTAGCGAAAGTTCAATCTTATCATTTGCACGTACACTTCATGCTTCGCCGGTCTTTGTTCATAATCTTTGAGTTGAAATCCAATTAACTTTTTGAATGTCTACCCATCAACCCGTAGACTCCAAACTTTTTTGTTAACGAACAGCTGTTTTGGAAGGCTACAAGGACCAATGCTAAATAAGATGTCTGGCATATTATCCGTGGCCCAAAAAGCGTATGGAGCGTTTTGTTTTGAGACAAGTCCCAATTCATACGGAATATCGCTTGTCTTTTGGAGCTCCCCAAACAAGGAGCTGCACGCTGAATAATGAACGGTTTGGTGGTACGTTTGTGGGGAAGGAAGTAATTTTATTTTAAAAAAAATTATAATGGTAAACTTTGATGGCAAAGAAAATTTTAGCAAAAATCTTTATCTGTCACAAACAAGTGATCGTTGTAGCCTAAACTTGCCGTTAGTTTCAATCGCATGCCATAAACAGCTTGTTGTTCCAGTTTTTTTATGTTTGTGGGCACAATGTCTGTGAGTAATCAGATACTTGCCGCTCGCCTTTTTTTTATGAACTCGTCTTGTTTGTTTCCGCCCGGATAAATTTACCCTAAAAATGTTTCCTTATTAATTTACTTCCCTGTATTGCATTTAACTGTCTGGTGAGAATACGTACATATTTTGTCGAGTCATCTTATGGGTATTAATGTTAGATTTTGCTCAAAAAAGGTTATGGCAAAAGAAAGGCGGGCTTTCACGGTGGACGTTTATCGTCTTTGTGATTATAAAATACAGTAGAATCTCCCTGCAGCAAAGTTCCCTACTGAAAAATCTTCGTTAACCAACGATTTCTCAGCTCTCAAAAATTAATATTCCGCCAAGAAAGAACTGCGTAAAACAAATAATTTTGAAGCAGATAAATTTTGTAGCTTTCTGGGAGAAGCTCGCAGATTTTTTACCGATGTAGATCGTTGCTAAAATCTTTGATTGCCCCTTTTCGGCGACACCTTCAATATTGAACGCCGTTTTTCCGAGAGAGAATAGAAAACGAAGATAGTCGGCCAGACGAAAAATGATTTATGCCTATTACTTTTTAGCTTCCTAATTTTTTGTCATAAAAACTGCTTACATTGAATTTTTCTCTTTGATTAAATAAATTAAAATTTTCCATAATTAACCTTATTTTCCTTCCATTAATTTTGCTGTCCTTTCAAGGCCAACTTTATTACGCTCTCTGACCATTTTCCTAACATAATTGTAATCATACATCCTCGTACAATTAAGACTACATTTACGTTTAATTTTCTCATTGCTGTCTATGATTACGAAGTAAAAAAGGGTTGTTAGAGCTGACCATATTCCTGTAGTTTTCCATATTAATTTATTCTCGTAGAGAGCGTAGAACATATTTTTGCATATTGAATTAGTGACCAGTTCGCCTATATTGCGTTGGAGTATAAATAAGTAGCAAACAGAACTCCTTTGGAGGTCTTGGGCGGGATTTTTGGGAGGTTTTTTTGGCCCTTTGTCGTTGGTTAGGGGATAAAATATGGTTGTGATGAATGAATTTTTTTTTGATTGCATATCCCGAAAGGAAGAAATAAAAAATTTTTTGCAAATTGGATGAAAATCCCCGAATATTTTAGCTATTTTTTGCTAGTACTTTTTTCTAGGTCGACTCGACAGAAAAATACTTTTGGATTTTTTGTTTGTGATGAATTGCCAAATCGAAGTGGAGCCCGATATATCCTATTTTTCACGTCAATCCAGCGCATTTCCTGAACCATTTGGACGTTTCGTCCACATACTATCGATTTATCAAAAAATTTTTTAGATTTCAAAATTTTTCAAAAAATTTTTAAGCACAAAATTGGTCCTAAAAATCAACAAAAATTTGGAACGTAATTTTGTGGCCAGAAAGCAAGCGTTTGTCCCGGATAGCCAAGAAAAGCAGAGCCAAAAATTTTTCTCCAAAATTCTTTTTGTGACGAAACGCCACATGGACTAAATCTTCGTCAGGAAATAGCTTCCAATTGCGCTGAATTGACGTGTAATCTGCATTTCCTCCCGCGCAAACGCACTTACGAAAAATTAAGTATTAATCTGCATAAGGAAGTTCCCTACCTCGGAGGTCAACATAAATTATGTAGACTTTTGTTTGGTCTTATAGTACACCAGCTGAAAAATAGAGGCACTCGCTTGCATATGTGAACATATATATATGCCGGGGTACTCAAAATTTCTTTTAATCTTTGAAGGAAATATTGGTTTGCGGTTGGACTTGTTATACTCGAATAAGTCTGGGGTTTTTGAAAATTTGAAAATGTGAAATCATAAATTTTAAATTGTGTTATGAAGAAATAACCCTAAAAGAGTTTAAAATGGAAAGTCAGTAAACTGTTTCACATAAAAAAATTGTTTTGACCAAAATTAAGGCCATATAAAACAATTAGAAAAGGCTAGGAAAGCATGTGTTTTTATTTTCAAGTCGCGTTATGCAAAAAACTCTTTAAAAAATCCCAAAAATCTGTATTTTTTCAAACTGGTTTTTATTCTTAAACCCTTTTTAAATGTTTTCCCCTCCGGCCAGACATTCTTTATAATAATATCCCGGCAAAGTTCACCCTCTTTTCGTTCTCTATGGATGTCTACGAAAAGTTTATGAAAAGTTAAACACCCGCTTCCTTACCATTTATCTCTCGCGGTTCCGGATAAACTCCTCCTCCCTTATGTAAAATGCGTTTTTTTACTTCTTCAGGAGTCTCTCCACGTTCTGAAACCATGTAGATGCTTGTGAAATGACTCCTTAGTCCATCAAAATGAAGGGAAAATTAGCTT